TATGATTCAATGAAAAACGAATCAAAATGTTATCATACACATAAAGGATTTAATTTGCGTTGTAATATTAAAGCAACGATTTTATTGGTTATACCTGTTTCTAGAATGCAAAAATTAACCTATTAATGCTTACCTGCAAAAAAAAAAAAAAAAAATGAGACGGTGAGCATTAATAGATTATAGACATTATTAGCAGCATGGCCCGGCGTTGCCCGTGCTCGATTAAAAAATCGTACGACTCATACAGCAATCGCTATCGCTTGACTTTAATTTTTTTGCCCTTCCTTGCTTTTAAAGGAGGCCCCTTTGCTGTGTTGATGTTGCTACATGCCTTACTTCTTGCCTATCTCACACTGCGAATATTTTCTAAGCTCTATACTAAACATTAAATCTGTTACGAAAAAAAACTAAACAAAATGAAAACAAAACGATCAGCTTTAAAAAAAAAAAGGTCTCGTAACTGGAAATACCGAATGAAAAAAGAATGTTAACAACAAATACTTTTTCACACCCAACCCAGTTCTGCGGAATCAGAATCAACGTTGAGTTTAAGCAAGCGAATGAGCCAATTGGAGTAAAGTGTCATGCAGATTTAAATTTTTACCACTTGTGACGAATGTAGCTATCGATTTTTTTGCATTCTAGCATCCTAGTTAACATTCGTGTCAGTCAGCTGTTGACTCTCACGCTAGCCAATAGAATCTTCTTGCCTATTCGTGGCAGTCAACTATAGGCTCTCACTCTGGTCAGTACAAAATGGCCGCAAATTACATGAAAACTGCCGTAGAAGCATGAAAAATCGATTATTTCCAGTATCGATGGGAGTTGGGAAATACAACGTCGGTCTTGGCCTTCCCGCTAACTTGGAGCATGTGTATGTAAACTTTGGTGCAATCCGACGAAAATTGCGGCCGTGCATTCGTTACACACACACACGCACACACATCCTGCCTTTTATAGATAGAGATTAATACTGAAATTTTTGGACACCTATAATTCATACAGGATTTTTATTTTATAATGACTACAAAATTTTATTTTTATAATTAATATTTGATTTTAAGGTTGGTATTATCGAGTTTGAAAAAATCTACTTGAAGATTTCATTAGAATGTTATAAAATTCGTTTATAACATAAGAAATTAATTTCAGTAAATATCTAAACTCATAACTCGTACAATATTTACTGGAGTTAGGGCTGACATCTGTTCTAATCTAACTCTAACAATTCAATGTGAAAAAACTGGCTGGTAACATTCAATACCTCTAAAAACAAATTAACATTCCATCACCACCACGCAGGCCCTAGATTTTATCCACCCATGATAAAGGTTAATGAGCTTTCTTGCCGAGAAAGTCTATTGGGACAAAATTTCACTCCATATTTCAAGTCGAACTCTTATATATGACACATCGTATATATAACCCACCGGAAAAAATGCTAAAAAAGGGATCTGTTTCTTGTTGCTGCTCAATTCATTACCTTGTTTCTCCTACCAGGCTTTATCTTTGTAAGATCAAACAAAACATAGAGTATTGATGGCATATCTAAGCTGGAGCTGCCCCATTTCCACTTTCCTGATTTGACAGAATCCAAAAGCACTACTGCAACATTGAAGGCGATGAATTATTTTCAACCCTACATCCCGTTTCCAAAAATGAAACGCGAATTGAATTTTAACGACGGAATCAATATATATATATATATATATATATATATATATATATATATATATATATATTTAAAAACATTTGCGTCTTTTCCCTTCTTTTTAATATGCACCCTTTTCTCTTTTGGAGATACTATAACCTCTTACGCTCAGCGGCTTCTCTGTCAAAGGACGAACGGGCAACAGAGGAAAATTATACTGAAGAGGTGCCCAGCCCTGGGGAACAGCCGCGCCCTCCCATTGCACAAGAGGGAGGGATCGGTGCTCGCACCGAGGCCAGCGCAACCGACGGTTGCGGGGGCTGAGGGGAATTTTTGTCCCTACCCGGGTGTACGCGGTCGGGACCCCACATTAATCCGACCTTGTGTCACATCTCATTCTCGTGGGGAATGAGTAAATACCACTATAACCTCTTACTTACATATATATATATATATATATATATATATATATATATATATATATATATATTAGTCATTTACCCCAAGCAAGGATAATACCACTAAGGCGCAAAAGGGTTACTGGGAGTAGAAAAGAATGAGAAAATTTTAATAGGGAGACAAGTCAATAACAGGACAGATTTTCGGAAGGCCGAAGATTGTAGGTGTCATGGAATCAAGAGGCCAGGAGGGATTTCTACGGGCGAGAAGCGTGAGCAAAGAAGGTTGATTCACTGTGCCGGGCAAGGCATTTTTTTTGCCAGAATCCATATTGCACTTTTATAAGAATTGACCCTACGATTTCATCTAGCTAATGAAACAGTAAAACCAGGAGACCTAGTAGCCAATCTAGTAGTATACGTAAATTCCTGCGGTCGAGGTACCAAAGAGGAGAGCTCTAGAACAACTGTCATGAAAAGCCAGAGGGAAAACACGTCATAGCAGTGAGAAATTGATTGGAGTCGAGATGACATGTAGGGAACGATAATTTCTTTGGTTTTTATATATCTCTAGATATGTAGCCAGAGCACCAGATCAAATACGGCAGCAACATTCAGAATGTCGATTTATAAAAGTGCAATATGGATTCTGGCAAAAAAAATGCCTTGCCCGGCACAGTGAATCAACCTTCTTCATTTATTTATCTATATCTATAAATGTTAAGGACTTTGTTAAAAAATAAATAAAATCGAAAACACATGCTGACATGTTTCGGAAAATATGCAACAACTTTAAGATTGCCTATAATAGCGTGAAAAATCTATAATCTTTCCGCGTGGGAATATAAGATAATTACGCCTTTTATGAATAACAGCAAATAATTATATGCACGTGTCGGCATCGATAGATTTAAAGGCAATATAAAATTGTTAACGCCAAAAGCCTCAAATTTAGTACGTACATTTAACTGTCATTTAAATTGCTTTAATTTAAAACTTATTATTAAATAATACGTGAGTTAAAAATTACATTACCAGAAATGAAAATTATCGATCATTCACAAAGGGTTAAGATCTGAATGTTCTTGTTGAATGCACAAATGAAATATTCGTCACAGGTATTAAAGAGGAGCGAAATAAAATACCCAGCCTGTCTTTGTAAATAGTCCATTAAAAATATACTAATTTTATTTAAAATATCAGATAACATACCTTGTCGCCTTTAAATGTGTACGCTACCTACTTTTTTTTAGAAAGTAAAGAAAGTTCCGATCTAATCTAGCAAGATTTTATTATTTCTTGGAGAACAATCAAAATTAATATTTCCAGTTGTGATTCTTTATCAAACTTTAAATTAAAACTCTACTGCCCCCACCAAAAAGTGACATTAATAATTATGTATATATTCTGGAATTCTATGAGAAAAGAATCCCGAAGTGGGACTGAATATAAAACTTCCCAAAGCAATATTTTTGTCCTGGAATCGGAATGAAGCATCGATGACACCTACCAAGAATGCATTATAAAATTCATGATTTGAAATTAGTGAATACTAAGCAAATAAAATATATCCATGTATGGATCAGTTTGGCCTATGAAATGATGAAACTGAACATTGAATTAGAGGTAGTTTAGTCAAACACCGCAGAAAGCTACAAAACAAACATTAGCCTAAAAATAATCATGTCCTTTAATGGTGTCATTAGAGCGAGACTTTCATGTGGATGTCGTGCATGGCACCAAATCATCTTAGAAATATCTAAACTGTCTGCTGTATACCATCTCTCTCTCTCTCTTTCTCTCTCTCTCTCTCTCTCTCTCTTCAAGATCGAGAGTTAACAATGGCTTCGAGAAAGGAACCGTGTAGATCTCATCGATGACCATTCTTTTCGAACCTTTGATGATTTGTGTTACAGATAACAGAAACGATATCACTTGCGGTCTTTCAACAACTAGAACAGATTGAAAATGTAACTAGTAAAGAATATAATAGCGTATGAAAGATTCTGACTTTCCACATTACCTCGAATAAAAAGCTAGGAAGGCAGCGACTATCAATATTGGAAGGGACAATAAACGCTAATGAACACGAGAAACCCCCTTTTCGTGAATAATTGTTGCAATAAAAAAGAGTTTAGAAATTTCAACCAAAAGTGACACTGGCTGTTCGATTAATGAATGCCGAATGTTACCTGACAATGAAATGACTAATATTACAATTACCATCAACATTATTGAATATTCAGGAAACTGATTGGTGACCTGCAGCTTAAATACGATAAAACGCAGAAAAGTTCTCGGTTCAACTAGGATCGAATCGTGTTCACATTCTGAATTTTGGTCATTTGGTCAACATCTGGAACATGTGGAGTCGTTATCTTTTCAGCACTCATCATAAATTAATAGTTCCCTTTATTCTTTATAAACAAAATGTTCCTTCCAAATTGTGTCAACAAATAATGCTGATATCTTATTTTAACCAGATTTTATATAATATTACAAAATAAAATATAATCTTAACTTAGTTTTTGCTAACTCGGTAATTTGGGTTATAGAAAACTCTCAAGCACAGAATAGACAAAAAAAGATAGCGTGATGACAGTTATTGTTTAATGCAAGAAACTCTTCCATATTTATTAATTTTGGAAGATTTTAAGAATTAAGTAAGGCCCTAAAATTTTTAACTTCCCCTCTTACGTAAATATAAATATTTATAAGTTTGTAAATCGAAAACAGCTGCTTAAAATCCAAGAGAAACCTTGTAAATATTTACATGGATGTCACTTTTATCAGAATCGACTATCAGGGAAAAGGACATTGCTATAGGAAATTAGTAACCATCTGGGGCCTGATGTCCAATGATCATCAATAAAATGATCAATTTATGTGGGAACTAGTCAATATAAATAGACAGTACAGGAAGAGCCTTGTTTTATCCACAATCGGGAACAATGGACTCAGTGACAATGGTCATGTGGAAAATTTGTGGTAAGTTTTTTTTTAACGCTAACAAAACTTACTTTATTTAAATTAATTAATTTTTCATGCGTGATAAGGGAAAATTAAATAAATTATTGGATTTCATGATATTTAAGGAAATAACTGGCAAAGTGAGTAATATGCATATTAGCCTTCTAGCCTACTTCTAATTAGTTTTTATTGATCTGATATTTGATGAAGAAATATTAGACTAAATGAATTCCTCGTTCGTTCCCTCATCAGTGTTCAATTACTGACAATGTAGAAGCGTAAATGCAATAGTGAAATTCTTCTCCCCGATCACTGTGACTCTCCAGGAAAGACTTAATACCAGAAATATGTTATTTCTCTCATATCTGATTTCAGTTTATATGTTATAAAACAAAGTGAAACATTGAAACCAGGTTTATTTTAATGTTTCTTCAATGAAATACTGATTTGGGAAAACGGAACGGGCTGAAACTAGTTCTGTTCTCCTTCCTATACATGATTGTGTGCATGTTGTCGTTATTTTTTTTTAATTCAAAACTGTATCAAAAGTATTTTTTTTATTTTATTTTGTCATGTCCCTTCATGATTTTCCACAGATTTCTTTTCTTTATTATCTTTAAATTACAATAAATTCTTGCGAAAAATGGTGAAATGGATTCCTGTGGATGCTTACATGGTTTGAAATTCAGTGTTTTTCTTCTATTTGGTTGCAAACCAAGTCTAGTAAGTTCGGCCTATACTGATATTTAACCAATACTTTGCGGGGGGCGAGAAGAAACAAATTCATGCCTTTCTGAATGGCTACAGCTCGATAATGAATGCATCAGACTACGTTCGGAATTTGAACTCGTGGGCCGATTATGCTTTCCGTACCGATATCCGTTACAATACCCACGCATCCTATTTTATCAATAGGCTTTCAAGTATTTTTTTTCCACTTTTTATCCTAATTTCACTCATATCTTTTTTTGATTATTTCACCCCAAACAAAGTGGGAATGCTACAAGTAAGCAGGGGATTACAGAATGTGAAAATGAGAGAAAAGACTGGGAATAGTGGGGATTGAGAAAAGGATAAAGAAAGGCACGGGATTCAAGAAGACAAAAGATGGCGATTGACTTTGAATTTAGATTTTTGTTGAAACTTGACTAATGCATGGAATAATAATACAACACAAAATGTACTTAGAATAAAATGTATTGAAACAAGAAAGTGTACACAATATTTACATATAGTCTTTTGTATATTCTTGGGAAGACCGTTCCTGGAGAATGTGTTGACTTAGTCGCAGTCGGGCAGAGTCTCTGGATTGAATCTCTTGATTCCTGCCCTCGTCTTCCCGGTACCAACCATATTTATTTGGTCGGTACTCCACTATGCAAATTAGGTGAATCCTACCACAACAATTTTTGAAGATTGTAGTTTTCAGGGAAGCAAGTAAATGAAGGAGAGTTCCACTGACAGGAAGAGTGAGAAAAAATTCTGTCGCAGTATAAGTGGCGGATACATTTAACTATTTCAACAGTAAAATGGTAGGACCTAGATGCTAATCTAGTAGCACGCTTAAATTAATGTAGTCGGGGTACCAGAGAGAAAAAAACTTCGTCAGAGCAGATGCCATGAAAATATTAGTAGAAGAGACAGAAGGAAGCCGCATCACGTCGGTGAGAAAGTGACTGAAGTCGAGATGCCATATCAGGATCGATTACATTGCAGATCCTTCTTTGGATTTTGTCAAAATGAATAGCAAGAGCACCAGACCAGATATGGCAACGGTATTCAATGCACTATCGAATGATAGGTTTTTAAATGAAATATGGGCTCTGACGTGAAAAACCTTCTGATACGACACAGTAACCCAACTTTTCTTGTAGTAGATGCTGCTATTGATTCAATGTAGTTATTGCACTTCAAATCATTTGAAAACATGAAACCAAGAACGTGCGGTGTGACGCAGTAATGGCTGGCAGGGAAGTTTTTCTATGTTGGAAAATGAGAGCAGTTTCTTTTTGGAGTCATTAAAATTTACAAGCCATTCCCTGCCCATTAAACCACTGATTGGAGGTCCTTTTCAAGAGCAGCCCTGACAAATTTGCTATTGAGATAGGAGTAAATGGCAGTGTCATCTGCATAACTGCCTACTTGGGAACTTATGACAACATTGATGCGGATCAGAAAGAGCGTAGGATCCAGGTTAAAGCCTTGAGGGACACCTGCGTATGTGTGAAAGGATCTGGAATTTGCCCATTCAAAACGACCTTCATTTTACGCTTTGATAAGAATGATTGGATCAAATCAAACAATCGTAACACTGAAGCTTACGTAGAAGAACAGCATGCCAAAATCCTGTCAAATGCCTTTGAGATATCTAGAGCCACAGCTCGAGTTACGCTTCTATTATCAATAGATTGATATACATACTCCGTGATGGCTGTAAGTACATCAGCCGTAGACCTGGCAAAACGGAAGCCATATTGTTTTTCAGAGAGTAGGCCGAAAGAGATAAGATGCTTAACGACTTCAGCATTGATTAAAGTCTCGAATATTTTGCCAAAAAGCGGTAGGACACGAATAGGGTGATAGTTAACTATCACCCTATTCGTGTCCTACCGCTTTTTGGGGTCAGAATGTTCTCCAAGAACTACAGAAGAGGACTTCCGACAAGGTGTAAATCAGGAAGCAGTGATGCAGTAGTTATAGTGTTTGGAGAGAACTGGAGCCAGCTCAGGAGCACATTTCTTTAGGACGATGGCTGGGATCCCGTCACCTCCGATTGCCTTATGGGAGTCTAATTTAGAAATTAATATCCGAGACCAGTGACGGGATTATGCGCATATCACTCAGCTGAGTCTCTGTTCTAGGGGTAAATCAAGAGTGGATACTCGAAATTAGTCGTGTTTCGTCGGAAGAGAATTTCCAAGTAACCCATTCAACCTTATCTGCTCTAGATATCAGGACTTTGAATTGATTTGAGGGATTGGGGATTTGCTGTTTTTCAGCACACACTTGCAGAGCTGCCAATAATCTCTAGAACCAAACTTGCTAAATGCTATACGTTGTTTCATTCTATCAGCAAACAGTAACTTCGCTTCACTCGTTACGAGCAGAGACAAAGAAACGTCTGTTACAAACAGACGTGTCGCTCTGGTACATCCGGATGAAGGGATTCCTGTGGGCTATAGCGGCCGGGCATGCAGGTGAGAACCAAGGAAATTAACGCAGTTTAACTTTGTATTTCCTTGCTGGAATGAAAGCTTCGATGTCGGCTCTCAACCGGTAGGAGTACTCAGACGGGCATTTTTTAACAGGATGATTAAAAACTTAATTCCAAGGGATGCCACGAAGGAATTCACGGAACGAGTCCCAATTCGCTCGTTGATAAGAGAAAGATATTCTGTTGGTAGGAGGTTGTTGAAAAGAGATGTTTGACGACACTAGATCTAAAAGAGAAACGTTTCCGCCAGCATTACTGGGAAAATGCATGTGGAAGTCAACCACTAGCGTTAGATATTGAGTGATTGAGAAGGTAAGGGCTTGGATGCCAGCGAGGTCATTGACAGAGTGTATAATCCACCTGATATCGTGGACATTAAAGTCACCGAATATAAATATATTTGAAAACTGGCCTTGTCTATATTATTGGAAATACTATCACGCAACGATCATGTGAAGGAGGGGGACGGTAGAGAAAAAAAAAGAAATAGCTGACTGATTTAAGTAGAGAGAAGTGGGGACACATTTAAGAATACTCTGGAGATTCAAGAGAGAGTTGCATAACCAGCGGAGACATAAAATCATAGGCCATGAATGTGGATATTAGAGGTTTTCCTAAAGAGAGGAAGGTAGCCAGGAATCGAGAAATCAGAGTAGGGGATTCAAGAGTTAAGATTAGTTTCGCAAAGAGCTAGGATGTCTGGAGACTTTTTGAAGAGTAACGATTCCACGCTGGATAATAGGTACAAATACCACGGATGTTGGAGAAAGAAGGTTTGAAAGGTTTAGATGTTTTTTTATTGAGCTGGATCAGGTTTATATTTTTGGTTGTTTATAGTCATGGTATGATAATCAATCTCTTCACAACATACATATATTTTATTAACAATATTCTGGGAATAAAAATTATTTCCCAGATACAAGTCCTACTATTTAAGCCATAGCTGGAGAGGAAGCGATCTAAGCGCATTTGTGTTATGTAATGAATCCGACTCAAATTCGAGTACGGCTGTCTGATTTTCTAATTCCGCTTCGCTATTCTTTATAGCACCCACTCATGCCTGAGCATTTGCAGTTAACTTTGATAAGTTATTCAAAACTCAGTTTTACAATGGATTTCGAGATACTCTATATCACATATAAACTGCCATTTTTCAGATCATTTTACTTCATTTAATAAAAAGGAATTATAAATTTCATGGATTACGTGTGAATTTTCTGGCGCAATATTTTTCGTTAACGTTTTTACAAACTCTTAAAATATCCCTACGGAGTTTAAAGTTATCTACATTTTTACAAAGTTCATTTTTAATCATTAATTTTAAGCTGATTACTATTTTTGTAAATGCCGTATACATTTAGAATATGGGCGATCATGATTCACTACGGATTTTCTTCTTCTTTTATTATCTATGAACTGCTATGATTTCTTGGGAAAAATAGTGGCTTCACTTTGTTTACTACTATGAATTTTAATAATGTAGCTAAATTAAAGTGAAAGACTCTATGAAATAATTTTGATTTGCATTTCTTTCACAGCGCTTTGTTTTTTAAATATCTAATTTAAAACATCTTTTTTCTTACAGTTCTCGCATTGATACTTCCCTACACAATTGGCTTCGTTCCTAAGGCTAAACGTAAGCACATATTTATGAATTTCTGTGTAAATAATTGTGCGTGCAGATATATATATATATATATATATATATATATATATATATATATATATATATATATATATATATATATATATATATATATGTGTGTGTGTGTGTGTGTGTGTGTGTGTGTGTGTGTACATATTTATATTCGGACTATTGTCCGCACCTTTTTTCTGTTATCACAACATTGCGGTCGTTGGGCTCCCGGGCCTTCCGCAGGTATATATCGATTTGAGTAACTTACAGAGAATTTTAAAATGAACCTTTTATTTAATCTGCGGGGGTAGACTGTTCTCGATCCACTGCCCATAGACTGCCCATGTCTAGGGATATCGTTCTTAGTTTTAGTACTGCTTAGTTATTGCTTGTCCGTTTCCAATAAGTTCAAGTACACACTGCCCGGCCTAGTGACAATCGCTGTCATCAAATTCACAAACCAATACTTCAGTCCCCTAGGCTAGTGTCTTACAGGAAAATAGCCTAGTAATTGCCCGCAAGAACTAAATGGAATCCCTAGTGGAACGAGAAGAGTCTACAACAAAGATGAGGACTATTGTTCGAATATAAATAGCGTAAATAATGATAACTCGGCAGGGTTAGGTAACTCTAAGCATAACCCTATTTCCCAGAAATTAAAACAGAAATCCAACATTCTTGTTCACACGGTACAAAAATAAATATTAAAATATAAATTAAAAACAATATTATTTCAGCATTTAAATATTACAATGATGTTATGTATTATCCAAGAATTTTAAAGCTAATTTAGATTATCGTTTTTGTATTTCAGCGCGATTGAGTGGTTGTTTTTTACGGTTTATCAACGCATTGCACGTTATTTGAAGTTAGAAAATATTTTTAGACCGTAAGGATTTTTTGGAGATAATAATGATTGACTGAAACAATAACTAATTAACTAATTAACCCATAGGTTGGGAGAGAAGTGGTGGATTCATACCTTTCATAAGGGTATTTGCGCGTAACGAAATATAATCAACCTGACTAGAATTGGAACTCGGCTCTAAGATTTTCCATTCCGAGCCGTTATCCCTTACACCAACTGTACATCCAAGCTTATAACACCTGACATTCCCAAGCGGTTACCCATCTAGGTACTGACCAGTCTCCTACATTGCTTAACTTTATTGATCATACTAATAACAACTAAATTCTGTGCTTAATAAGTACTAATTCGGGTAGAGTCACGTAATTTATCTCTAAAGTCACATATTTCTGAAGTCATAAAAAATGCTAACCAAAGAATAAATATTATTAAACGTTGCTTTACGGATCTTACTCTAGAACAGTACTCGTAGATGGGGCTAATAAGTCATCCTTGGTATGACGACAAACTACATTCAGTAATAAAATGTTTGATCGAGATATTGGAGGTTTTGAGAAGTATACAACCACCCGTTAATTGCTGTTGTTCCCAGGTTCACCTTGACCGGGGATCGTGGCAACTGCCAGGGTCCCAGCTATTGGCAAACAGTGAACCCCGAAACAAAGATCAACAGGACATTTTTATAGTAAAATTACCAGTGTTACACTGTTATAAAATATTACTAACAATACATTTTTTTAGTAAAATTACCAGTAGTACATTTTTTTTAAAAAATGCCATCAATACATTTTATCACCTAAAATGTATATTTCTAAAAAAAAAAAAAAAACGTTTTCCCTGAAAGTATAAAATTATGTACAAAAATGTCTGTAGTTGAAGGCATAAAATTGCGTAGAAAATATTTATATTTCGGCATTAAAAACATATAGAGCTTGATATTCCACTAAACAAGTTCAACAAACATAAAATAAGAAATAGATTCATTGCAAACTGGATAATTAATTTTTTCTCTTATTATTCTTCCTTCAGTGGTATGCTAATAAAAATATCAAAATGATCAATAAAAATGTTGTGATTCAATTTATTTTTCATTCTTTTCAGTGGTATTGCCATCAATAAGTAAAGGTTAGTAATATCTTCTGCCATTAATTAATCCATACCGTAAATATTGTTATGTCATTATATAAAATAGTTAACTAAAAATATTCCATTCACAAAATATTGTTCGCATCAAAATCTGTCAATATAATGTAGTTTAATTTATAATGAACTTAACTAAAAGTAGTGTGGCCGGCTATTCGTATTCCGAGCACACGCGTCGACTAGTACAGCTAGCCAAAGCCTCTTGCAGACAAATGTTCAGGTACATTTACGTGTGTTCAGCACTGACAAAGTCCAACTGTGGTGTATGCTGCAATTAATCAGCTAAACAAGCCCTAGCTATAGTTTCTAGGAGAAGGACGAATATCAACTGAATAAGGCCAGTACGCTGAAAACTTTGGCCATTATGAATAGTGCCTTCGGATTAGCACAACCACCAACAGCTTCGAAAGGGTTCCGTTTACCCAATTTTACTCAAAAGGCTTGGATCAACCTGCACGCTGGGATCACTTTCTCAGGCCGTTAACATAAAAAAAGTCACCGACTTGAAAAATCAACGACGTTGAGATACGAAACCAGATCTTATGCTCAGACAGCGAATACGCTACTCGCTCGAGCATAATCAACTAATATTCACATGTAAGTCTCAAATGTGTTTCTGACGAAATTACGCATTTATTGCATATGTACATCATTATGCATAATGCATTTAACTTCATGATTCGTCCAAAGAAATTATTTTTTTACTAAATAAAAGCTCATCAGCAGGTTTTAAGTATATTTACCGTCGATAACATAAAACAGATTTTCAGATTTTTCTATATGATTTTTTCATATCGATTCTTTCTGCTAACAAAACGTATCTTAACGTAAACAATGACAACATATAATGAAATTGATTAAGGTCGATCATTAGCTGAATGTTACAGCAAGTGAGGTGAAATGACGGTTTCAGTATAGGAATAGAGTTTCGATTTCTGTTAGAGAAAGTATATTTTCTACGAAATTTCTCGAACATTCAAGCCGGGGTATGTAATTAATACTGTTTACCACCAAAAAATTGGTGATAAATGCTGCTCTCTCTTTGAATATAATCAGGAACCAATATTGCTCTAGTTATGCCCAATAAAACAGTAACCATTCATTTCAGACTTAATACATTAAATGTTTGTAATTATTTCCTATTTGTAATTATTTGTAATTTTGTAATTATTTTCGTATATGTTTTATGATGTTATACAAAACAAAATATGCTCAATATAATTAATGAACATTTTTATTCAAAAGATTTTAATTCTTTTCAGTTGTACCTCCACCAGTAGGTAAAGGTTAGTAATATATTCTTCTATTATTCGATCAATACATTCAAGAAATCTTAACTTTCTACCAGGTCAAGATATGCATATTCAAAATTATTAAAATCGGTATTCAACTGTGAATTAGGCAATTTACAATAATCGTTTCCTTGAAGTTTAATCAACATATTACCAAATATAAATAATATTTAAGCATATATGGAAAGTTCATTTTCAGGAATAAAATCCGTTACGGAAGAATCATAAATAGAAAATATACAACTTGTATGTAATCACGCATTTCACCATGCAAATTATGACATACGGATAGTGTGTGAAGATAATATTTGCTTCCCAATCACCAACACATACTCAAATATGTCAAGCGATCTATTTGTGTCTTCTGAAACAATCTGCGTATAATATCCTCTTCAAGATAACTGGGAAATTTCTTAATTACAACTCCATATTAATATTACATGAACGAGGGAAATAGAAAGCTAGATATTTCTCATTATTTGTGCACATTAACGCGTTCTATGCCAACTAAATGAAATGTTCATGAAACATTGCAGAGAGGTTGTATTTTTTTTAGTATGGGGAATATGTGATGTGAAAACGATATTATATGTTACATTAAGATATCGTTGGAGAAATATCATTCTGTTACCTGGAATCTTATACTAAAATCAGTAATTTCATTCTTCATAACAATTTCCAATCTGAAATTATATCTGCACGATGTAATAAAAATAATCGCTGAATAACAAACACCAGAAATCAAGTAGCAATCAAAATCTTTGCTAACAATTGTTCCAAGACTAAAGTGCCAGACTCATTTACATTAGTCAAGGGTCGATATACATTCCGATTCGGTAACATATTGCAAATGAAATTGTTCTTTTAAAACTTATAATTTCTAACTTTTTTGACAAAAGTAGCAAAGATGAAGGAATATTTAAATACATCATGCGAGAATAATTAACTTCTCCAGATCTAATTATTTTACTAATATGATAAGAAGATTTCAACTATATTAATAACGAATATTTTTCATTAATTTCAGGGGTACTTCCAACAATAGGTAAAGGTTTGTAATGTATCCACCAATCAATTAATTAATATAATTTAATGGTTCATAAAGATATAATAATTAAATAAAACAAGGTCCTTTGTGCATTTAAATCTTTTTGTTTTGAATTCGCATAAATTAAGGAAAAAATCAATTAACTGTGAATTAAATGTATATTTCAAGTGCATTCCTGGCTACACGATACTGTTGTAACATATGCACATATTTGTCGTTAGAAAAAGTAACATGATTCGTAGAGACAGACACCTAATAATTAATGTATGAAATGAAATAAATATCAGCTACAGTTTTAAGAAATTCTGATATAATAATATTTGCTCGTCGATATCAAAACACACATCGTCTCAATCTTTTCAACCTGTGAGAAAACAGTGGCTGATATTGTGTTACTGCTTGAGGGTTCCAGAAGCGTGAAAAAAACAGAACTTCAAGAAAGTTAAGGAATTCGCGGTAAAACTGGTCCACTCTTTGAAAATAAGCAAGAATCAAGTCCGTGTGGCTGCAGTTACATTCAGTAAAAAAGCAGTCATTAATTTCAAACTTAATACGCACGATAATAAGAAAGACTTGATAGAAACAATCAGGAATATCAAATATCCTAAGAGAGGTACTAACACACATCTGGGCCTGAAACTACTCAAAACTGTCTTTAAAATCAAAAATGGAGATCGATTAGATGCACCCAATATTGTCATTCTCGTCACCGATGGAAAATCTAATAAAGCAAATTCAACAATAAAAGAGGCTAAAAATCTTCAAAAGGCAGGTGTACTGATGTTCAGCATTGGTATTGGGAATAAACTTCGAGATTCAGAATTGACAGCCATGGCAAGTAAACCGACATCAGAATATAAATTCACAGTTGGCAACTTTGACGCCTTACATAGTATTTCGGAGAAAATAACGAAGAAGACATGTGAAGGTATGTGTATGTCTTCTCATTTAGCCGTAGTTAATATGTGATTATCAAGATAAGGTTCACCTTTTTGTGATTCCAGCTGCTGCCGCTAGTTTTCACAAAGAAAATTCTGACATTTTATCTGGAATTTATCTTGCTTTGTAACACATAATTGTTTCTTAGTGTTTTCTCCAAGTTTATAGCTAAAAAGTGATTTAAATATAAAGAACTTAATTCATCTGACCAATAGTTACAATTATTTCAATGATATGCTAAGAAATATAATATAGTGGAGATCATATTTATTCAAAAGTTCTTTTTTTTCTTTTCAGTTGTACCTCCACCAGTGGGTTAGTAATATATTTTTCTATTATTTAATCAATTCATTTCATAAATCATGACATTCTATCAATTCAAGCTATGTATATGTAAATGTATTAAAATCAAACATTAAACATTCAAACATGAATTAGATAATTTGCAATAATTGTTTCCTTGAAGATTAATCAAGTTATTAATATTTAGGCCTCATATGTAAAGTTCAATTTCAGAAATAAAATCCGTTACAGAAGAATCATGAATAGAAAATATGCGATTTGTCTGCAATTTTGCATTTCACCGTTCGAATTATGAAATAAGGTATTGCGAGAAGATATTTCCTTGCAAAACACCAGCACTGGATGAAATATGTTTAGCGATCTATTTCTGTGTCTTCTGAATATAATCTGCATATAATCACCTCTTCAGTATATTTGGATTTTTTTTATTAATTACAACTCCATGAATACTAGATAAAAGAAGGAATTGGAAAACCGAATACTTCTTAATCTTTTTGTGTATATTTTTACTTGATAATCAATAATTTAGATGATGAATAAACGTTCTAATACTTTCTTTGAATTTTCTTTATCTATTTTCTATTAAAATAATGATTCAATGCGACGTGTTATGTACATTTCCTTTGATATTTCTAACTTCTAATTAAACGTAGAATATATAATATGCTTAATTGAAGTTCTAAGTGTATCAGAAATCAAATGGTGATTGAACTTAATACATATTCATATTGATTACCAAAACCATTTTTCTAATAATACTAATACTACATGACGAATCTGGAAGATTCATTTACATTAGCCAATGGTCAATATAGTTTCAAATTTGGTAACATATTGCAAACGAAGTTATCCTAAACATTAATAACGTGTATTTTCTGGGTTTTTTTTTCAGTTGTACCTCCCCCAATGAGTAAACGTAAGTAATATGTTCGATAAAATAATACTTAATTTAATTTCGAACATGGCTATATTAAATTTGATAATGCATAAGTGAATTTTCACAGATCCCATGGACATCTTAGTGTGTCTGTTTCGAATTTCTAGAAAAGTATCAAACATTTAAATAGTTGTATGGTTCATTGGATTTATTCTAGATACTCATCCTAATAATTAATCTATCAATTAAATAAAATATCATCTGCAGGTGTTAAGAAATTCTGATATCAATATTTACTGGTCGATATCAAAACACACATCGTCTCAATCTTTTCAGCCTGTGAGAAAACAGTGGCTGATATTGTGTTTCTGCTTGATGGTTCCGGAAGCGTGAAAAAACATAACTTCAAGAAGGTTAAGGAATTCGCGGTAAAACTGGTCCAATCTTTGAAAATAAGCAAGAATCAAGTCCGTGTGGCTGCAGTTACATTCAGTAAAAAAGCAGTCATTAATTTCAAACTTAATACGCACGATAATAAGAAAGACTTGATAGAAGCAATCAGGAATATCAAATATCCCAAGGGAAGTACTAACACACATCAGGGCCTGAAACTACTCAAAACTGTCTTTAAAAGCATAAACGGAGATCGATTAGATGCACCCAATATTGCCATTGTCGTCACCGATGGAAAATCTAATAAAGCAAATTCAACAATAAAAGAAGCTAAAAATCTTCAAAAGGCAGGTGTACTGATGTTCAGCATTGGTATTGGGAATAAACTTCGAGATTCAGAATTGACAGCCATGGCAAGTAAACCGACATCAGAATATAAATTCACAGTTGGCAACTTTGACGCCTTACATAGTATTTCGGAGAAAATAACGAAGAAGACATGTGAAGGTATGTGAATTTGTATATATTTAAAAATAGTTAAAATGAGATTCTCACGTTAACGCTGTTAGCATTTCCAACTGTTGACGGGGATTCTTTTGCTTTAAAGAATAATTTCTTCTTGATTTTTGCTACATGGTTAAAGCTAAAAATGATTAAAATATAAATAGTTCATCACGATGCATCTGTCCAAATGTAAATTATCCATAGTTAATGTTATGCTATAAAAAATATGGCTAATACTAATGAAGAATAAGTTTATTAAAATATTTTCATTCATTGCATTTATACATCCTCCAGCAGTTAAATGTTCGTAATATATTCTCTTATTATTAAATACATTATATATATATATATATATATATATATATATATATATATATATATATATATATATATATATATATATATATTTATATATATATATATATATATATATATATATATTTTAGATAAATCCACTAACGCACAATTGATTACAGTGAGGGATGGAAAGTGAGAAAACGTTAAGGGTGAGAGAAAATTATCATACCTGGTTTAAAAGTGAATGAAGAGTTTTGACACTGCATATAAATCATTGACGGACCTCCACTAAGTGGTTAATCTACCTTCCATCCATACACTGAATACTACTGCTATATCTGAACTGGTGTTCCTGCTAATACTCCCGAGTTTCATGACAAAATCCAAAGGAACATCTGGAATGTAATCGATCATGACTCGGCATCTCGACTTCAGTCATTTTCTCACCATTTTCTAATTGAACTTAATTATCTTCAGCAACAGTGTAAAAGTGTAAAAATAACAAATTGTATATATAGTACTATGATTAATATCATAAATACTTTAACAAAAGGGATTTGAAGAAGTTTGTTCTTATAAGGAATTCTTAAGCTGGAAAGAACATGTTGACAGGCTGTTCCAGATTTGTTCAACTATTAAAATGAAGGAAACTGATCGAGGGAGTTCAAGAAACGGCGTATATAAAAAGGTGTTTTGCTGATCGAGGCACTACTATCATCTGGACGTGAGTGTGTTGGTCTACACGCAACGAGACAAGTTTGATCTTTTTTCTACTCTTCCGGTGAGTGCATTTATGTGGTTGCAAACGCCAATTGCACTGCTCTGATTGGCTAGCCAAATATAATGCTTGATTAATGGTATTGGGTAGTCAATGATAATGATTGACAAATGGTCTTGTATCATACGTCACAAAGGGGAGGAAGGAAAACAATCAACAACCCAACGGTCCAATCAAAATAATGGCCATGTGTCGTACGTATCGGAAGAGAGGAGAGAAGCTACATTCCAGTCCTTCACTCACTGGCGAGCCAATAAAAATGTTGGCCTTGTATCACTCATATACACATTTAGTGGAACATTTTCAATATTCCGGAATGTCACCATCATTTGAATTGATTATCACAGGTGTCATCGTCATCTCTACCTGAAAGTGTATCGGAGCCCTGATCAAAACATATCTGACCTGTAAAGATTTACTTTGTGTCACTCATTTCAACAAATAATTCTTTTGTCAAATGAAAACAACACTCAAGTTAAACAAACCTAAGACCTAAGACGGCACGTATCGAAACCATCCCATCCAAGCTGACAATTTTAATACGCACAATATACTCCATAATTGATAGAAAACAGAAAATTCATCGTATCGCAATGGTATAACATGAAAAATATTTTCTTTCTTTAGAAATAAAAATTAGGTCGCCAGTTAGTATTTGACACCAGTTAGGTTGTGATAGAAACGGGATTAGAATACTTGGATTCAAGGCGGCTGAAGAAAAGGACTGACATGGCATATAAATCTTTGAAGATGAAGACAAAACGCCGTAAGAGATTTCCACGAGCGAGAAGTGTGAGAAAAGAAATGATTTGAATAAAAATTTACGAGTATATTTTCGCCATGAAAATGAATGAGACTTATCTGCCAATGTAGTACTGCGGTCAAATCCGTGCAACTATGCTGACAAAAAAGAAAAGAATGCTCATCAGCATAATGACCCTGAAAATATTCATATAAAATAACACGGAAACCACAGCGTTGAGAAAATGAATGAAGCCGAGATGTCAATTTAAGGTAGATACCATAAATATTCCGAAAATAAACATCAAGATCAGATTAAATATATCATAAAATATATAAACTAATTCATCAATGACATCTGGAGTTCTAAATTGTAAGTGGTTGAAGTGTACGTATGGAGAACAATGTATAATTCAGCTCGATTCCCGTGGAATATATATTTAAATATGAATTTTGGAAGGCATAAATAAATTTTCAGAAAAAATAGAAGGTATATCTTATATGAAACATATCGTACATTATATAATAAATGTATTCAACGTTAATATTTTCGTTTTTTATGTTTAGACTGCTCTTTAATTTAATAGCACTATAGTTATCAAAAACATCTGAAGCACATATTTGTTTATCGAATTAATAGTTTGATTTTCTTTAAAAAAATCGATCCTATATATCCATGAAGCAATAAATGAGCTCTAGATATTTAAACAGATTCGCCAATGTGTTAATCTGTTTGCGAAACATTTCCTCGATATCGTAGAATATTTAAGACATCGGTCTTAACCCAATCGGAAACTAACACAATCATTTACTATCAATTTGGTTTTTAATTAGAAAATTTCTCGCTCTCAATTAGACAAAATCATTGGAAAAGAAGTTCTATATACAAAATTACAGTGTACTATTTAAACGCATTTAATTCTATGAAGATCGTTATATTACAGTATTTAGGGACATGCAATAAAACATCGACATATACAGATGTCATTTAAGAAAAAATGAATTCAAATAATGTCATCATAATTTAAATGTCCAGTGTTAATGTCAACGCATCTGATGTTGCTTCTTTCTTATTTCAGTAAAACCTGATTGTACATGTAAAGCGTCGGGAGATCCTCATTACAGAACATTCGACGGGCAAATGATCAATTTCATGGGAATTTGCAAGTATACTTTGGCCAAAAGCGCTAAGAATGCTTCCCATTTCTTCGCCGTTGAAGTTAAGAATGAACACCGCGGAAACACACGGGTATCATACACTCGAATGGTTGATGTCAAACTTAAAAACGTCACAATTAGACTGTTACCTAAGAATAAAATTCTCGTAAGTAAAAATCAATACGAAAGTATGTCTCTTTTTTAATTGGTCAAAATGTGAAATAGTAAGATCGTAACATAAAGTCCCAGTAAATTAGTGGCATAAAAAGTCGTATGGATCAACTCAGATCTCAAAATTTAGGATCAATTGGCAGTGTAATCGACCAAAAATACATGATAAAGTATGCGAAACAATCTGAGGTTGTATTCCTATGCTTTGATTGGTGTTTAACCAAACATTTTTTGTTTTTCGGTATATATTTAAAAATTGGAAATAAGACTAAATTTAGTAAAATAAGTTCTATGAAATTAATATGACATATATAGTTTGGTAATGAAGTCTAAGAAAGAAACAAGTTTCAAAATAAGAAATAAATTTGAAATGTTTGCGATAATATGTACTTCAGTTTGTCATATTTTAATTATAGGTGAATGGAGAAAAGAGAACACTTCCCATCACCAACGTTTGGGGATTCTCGGCCACATATTCTGCTGGTTGGATTACAGTCACAACGAAATGGGGACTCAAAGCTGAATTTGACGGTAGACACAGAGTGACTGTAAAGGTACCAGGGTCATTTGCCAATAAATTGAGTGGGATCTGTGGTGACTGTAACGGAAAGAAGGATGACTACCGTACAAAAGAAGGGAGAGATGTATCGAAGGAATCCAATAAATTCTCATTAATTGGAACTAGCTACAAAGTGGATGATGACAGCGACAAGCCGAACACCAAGTGAATAAAAATTTTGAATTTTCTTCTTATAAATGAACAACAAAATAATGAATAATATATTTAAACATAATTGTTAATATTCTTATACTTTCCGAATTCATTCTAAATTATTTGTCGAAATGAATATCTCCAAATAATATACAAAGAGTAATCTATATTCCCTTTAAAATAGAATTTGTAATTATTATGCTTTTGGATGAACTGATACGAGATTGCAACAAAAGCGATTTTAGCTTAACTGAAAAAAAAGATTACTACATTTATGAGTTTCGAGACAATCCATTTCATTTCCTTTGATATCATTTTATAATAAGATATCGATTACAATATCGAAGCATTGCATTACATTGAATCAACTTCATAGCCATCAATAATTATTAAGTAACATTTATCAAAATTTACTCTTGATATTTCTAAACAGTAAACGTTATGAGAACTTAAATTTATAACTTCAGCGATATTTTTAAATTCATAGAAATGATAAGTTTTGATAAAATGGATCTGATATTTAATTTTAAGGTGTGACGTAACTGATGTCAAGACGAATTGTACTTCGATTGAAACCCGAAAATGCAATGTGATCATGAAGACAATTTTCAAATCGTGCCGGCAAAAACTGGGAGAGTTACGTGTCAAAGAATATGTTGATTCTTGTAAAATCGACGCTTGTGTATATCACAAAAACAGAAAAATATTTGATAAAGTTGTTTGTGAAGCCATTGAAGGGTTTGCGCGAGAATGCGAACAAGCTGGAATCGTTGTTGAATGGAGAAATGTTGCAAAATGTGGTAAGTATTGCGAAATAATGTATTACATTAGGAAAGGTAACAACGATTTTATTGTAGCACGTTTGTTATCCAAACAAAGAGACAACAGAATTAATATGAAATGTAAAGACATTTTCTGAATATTAAGAAATAATTCTCATATATAAGAAAGCAGAGATAGATGTACCGTTTACTGTAATAGTTTCAGACATTAGTTGAATCGAAAGAAACTGTTTTTGTGAATCAATGATAATGATAGATCTATCGTCCAAACTACTAATCAGGCATTAAGATCAAGAATATATATGGAGTAGGCGAACACACTACAATATCAACATAAAAGACAGTGAAATGACAATATTAAACCTCCGCAAATGACCGCAATATACAGAAATTGAGTTTGTTCATGGAAGACATGTATGCATCTAGTGAAACCGTCCCCGTTTCATTCATTTAGTCCTTAAAACGCATTAAAACAATAAATGCACATCTGAACATTCAGCAGCTGCAACCTGTACATAAACTCATGGTCAAACATATCAATAATCCTTCTATAAGATAACTATTATTATTACCCATGGCAATTTAACAACACATACAAATGTATAACAGGAGAAAAAATGTAAATCTTGTGTAGTTTATTCTATCCCACACTGCATACTCATCTGACCTTACACGAACCGATTATTATCATACTCAATCGCTAAAGTACACATGGAGTGAGTAAGATTTAACTGAAAGATTCAAGATACTACGTGCTGAAACATTTCCCAAATTATATTGATAAGATGTCCGATAAGTGTTGACACGACATTAAAAATAAGAGGGAATATTGAATTAAATAAATGATTATTGTAGTTTGGTGAATATGCTTCATAAAAATAAACACAGATTTTTTACACATCCTCATGTTTTTGTTTTTTTTACAAAATCCTCCCCAGTAAAAGAATTGTAACTTCTATATTTTTGTTCATTCTAAAATCATACGCAGTAATATTGTTCAGACAATGAATACAGTGTGAATTTGATAAATGCAACTATTAGATTAATATTGTGACATATTATTTACAGAGATGAAATGTGGTCAACACCAGGTGTATAAATTTAATGCATTTGTGTGCCAACCAACTTGCAGCAATCGAGCTCCGAAATGTACAGATCTGGCAGAGGGATGTGTATGTAAAAAACCTTATGTACTGAGTGGAGACAAGTGTGTCCCGATTTCGAAATGTGGTTGCAACAATAATGGAATCTACATGGCTGTAAGTCAAGTGATAAGTTGTAAATAGATGAAAATGTTATTGTTCATAATTGTTCTATATTCAATGCAATTCCTCGAATTAATTACAGAGAAAATGGACCCTGATCTGTGAAATATATTAAGTTACAAATTTTCAAAGTAAATATTCTGTGTGGTTCAGTGTTTCTCCAATATGATTACGCAAATAATAATACACGAATACACTTAATTTATAAAAAATGCAACTTTGAGTAAAACAATGCTTCATTTACTCCGGACGACATATATTTCTTATCCATATAAAAATTCCTTAGAAAATATACAAGTAAATGGGGTGAATATATTATGAAATAGTAATTATATTCTTTTTTGTTAAATTCATGGAATATACATTAGAATTTTCAGCTATTCCCGACGAATTAACTTCCGTTAAATGACCACTCCATGTATTGCTCTCTCATTATTATAAGATAGGATTTAATTTGAACTCTGATTAAAAAGTGCGTACAAATGATTTTTATTGCAGCTTAATGAAGTTATAATTAACAAGAAATGCACAAAGAAGACCATGTGCTCAAGAAATAACAAGCTGGAAACCAGTAATCTGAAAGAATGTACAGGCAATCGAGAATGTATTATTAAAAATGGTGTTCGTGGTTGTATATGCAAACACGGATTTCAACTCACAAATGGAAAATGCCTCAAAACAGGTATGTAATTGTTCATTAATACGTCAATGAGTAAAATAAAATACTGAATATTTATCAAGTTATTTTTTTACATATTCATCTTTCTCCCACATATCAAATGAATAATATCTCGACGCAAAATGATTTTTATCTAGTAACTATAACAGTAGAACGACATTTACTAATCATCTTGTATCTATTTATGATTGTAATACTTTGTATTCATTATGCCGAAGAACTTGATAACCATTACACCAGATCAAAGTACTCAGATCCCGCAATTGTATACAATCACGTATTCTTCTTCAATAAGAGAATATACCTTGGATTTTATTATTCATCTCGTGATTTCAATCCAAAAAGTGTATTACAAATTTATTAGTAAAATGGAACTTTGGATTAGTTATTATGAAAATAGATCCCTATGTAAGTATGATCAGTTGTTAAAAGCATTTCAATTTTGTGCTAAAAAACTCAAGAAGGTATATATTTTCATTTTTTCCAGTTGTACCGCCACCTATAAGTAAAGGTACGTAATATTTACTTCAATGAAATAATGGTTTATTTTCGGACTATTTAATGGCTCGTATCAATATTTGAAATGATTAATCAAAACGTAAATTTTCAGTGTTAATTTGCACATTTAAAACGTTCAAATTTGAATTTCCGAAGAGTTTTCAAAAATATAACTGTGAATTAAATATATGTCTTTTCAATATAAAGATGCTGTTGTTACATATGTACATATTCATCATTAAATCTACACTTCATAATTCGCTAAAAATATCAGCCTATTAATTAATATATGAAATTAAATAAAATATCATCTGCAGGTGTTAAGACTTTCTGACATCAATATTTACTGGTCAATATCCTAACGCACATTGTCTCCCTCTTTTCAGCCTGTGAGAAAACAGTGGCTGATATTGTGTTTCTGCTTGATGGTTCCGGAAGCGTGAAAAAACATAACTTCAAGAAAGTTAAGGAATTCGCAGTAAAACTGGTCCACTCTTTGAAAATAAGCAAGAATCAAGTCCGTGTGGCTGCAGTTACATTCAGTAAAAAAGCAGTCATTAATTTCAAACTTAATACGCACGATAATAAGAAAGACTTGATAGAAGCAATCAGGAATATCAAATATCCTAAGAGAAGTACTAACACACATCTGGGCCTGAAACTACTCAAAACTGTCTTTAAAATCGAAAACGGAGATCGATTAGATGCACCCAATATTGCCATTGTCGTCACCGACGGAAAATCTAATAAAGAAAATTCAACAATAAAAGAGGCTAAAAATCTTCAAAAGGCAGGTGTACTGATGTTCAGCATTGGTATTGGGAATAAACTTCGAGATTCAGAATTGACAGCCATGGCAAGTAAACCGACATCAGAATATAAATTCACAGTTGGCAACTTTGACGCCTTACATAGTATTTCGGAGAAAATAACGAAGAAGACATGTGAAGGTATGGGAATTTGTATATATTTAAAAATAGTTAAAATGAGATTCTAATGTTAAAGCTGTCAGCATTTCCCTGTATACAACTGCTGACGGGTTTAATCTTGAAAAACAAATGTCTCACATGTGGTCACTATTCTCTGCTTGAAAACATAATTTCTTCTCGATTTTTACTACATGGTTAAAGCTAAAAGTGATGAAATTATAAATAGTTCATCGTTATTCATCTTTTCAAATGTAATAATTATTAATAATTAAAGTTATCCTATAAACGCTTGCATAATATGTAGAATATGATTATACAAATATTTTCTTTTATTTCGTTTGTACATCCCACAGCAATTCATTTATATTAAACTGTTTTTCTTATTATTAAACACATAATGATAAGAAACCTTGTCCTTATAACGCGTCAAGTAATGAGGATGATATAAAAATTGATTTTCTCATGATTCTTACTACAATTTTATTTCTAAAACGATGCAAATATAAATAGTTCACCATGACTAATATATTCAAATTTTATAATTATTTCAATGTTATGCTAACAATATTATTCACAATATTAATAAAGAATATTATTATTCAAAAGATTTCCTTTCCTTTCAGTTGTACCACCCCCAGGAATTCAAGGTTAATAAACGTTTCATATTATCTTTTGTTATTAAATATATCATTTTAACACACACACACACACACACACACACACACACACATATATATATATATATATATATATATATATATATATATATATATATATATTATTATTATTATTATTATTATTATTATTGTGTTTGTGTGTATTTTAGATATATTTTAGAAAAATCCACAAACAGACAATTGATTACTGAAGAGGAAAGAAATTGAGAAAACATCTGGATAAAAACGGAATGAAGAATAACATTGACTATGCATATAAATCTTTAAAGGACATCCAATTAGTGGTTAACTGGGGCAGGAAATGGCTTGTAAATTTTAATAACTACAAATCGAAATGACTCTAATTTAAGCAGAATAGAGACACTTTCCCTCCCGACATCAGCATGTTTGATGCTAAACTCCCGGTGAGCAACACACTCCACCTTCTTGGTTTCATGTTTTCAAATGACATTTTGTATATTTCAATCGCCATCATAATATGTACATAGTGTATTTAAATAGTCTGTTCTTTTTTTTGGTGCTGGTGGGGGTTCTCGATTATCACTTTATAACGTTCGTATATTGTTATAATTTTATTTTATCTGTTATTAGCTTTCTTTATTTTGTATCGATTTAGAGCTTAATATATATAATAAGAATCCTTGTCTTTCTTTCACATTTTATTAATATTATTTTTCTCTTATAGATTATAGGAATATACTGTAAGGTAGATAGTCATTTTTTTTCGTACTTTAACTTATTTCAAGAGTATTTTGTAGTTTATTGTATTATGACCGACTCCATAATTTGTAAACGGTGTATTTTTATCAATTTTAATGAATATTGTTGTGTTTTGTCTTTTACATTATTTGTGTACAGTTAAGACACACGGCATGAATATGGACAATTATTTGAAAGTTGAGAATACGTCAATTTAAAAGTTAACTGACCTGTGATCATTTAAAGAATCAGGTTAAACAATAAAAATGTAATAGCAGCATTGAGTTTAAGAAGCACACCCACCAACTCAATTAAAAACAAAACCGTAAATATTTAGAGTAAGGTATCAAACCATACCTAGGAAATAACAAGAAGGGTTTAATTTAAGAACGTTAAATAACCTGCTCGTTTATCCATCGAAAGTGGTATCCACCAAAAAAGGAAGAAAAGAATCCAGTACCATTTAAAAGAGAGTTCGCGCAGCAGAATGGTTGATACAAACACCAATAGTGCGTGCGGAAAGCTTTGTCTATTTTCGTCTAATTCATTAAAAAGATCAGAGTATCAGCTAGCGTTTGATCGCGAGGTGGGTATCAGGGATTGATCTCCCCTGATTGGGTGGACTTGGTGATGGCGTGTATGACATTGAAAGACCCAAAAGACCCTGAAGAACCAAGTCAATTTATATCACTGACTACACACGAGCGTATATTTGAATTAATCCGGATTTGTCATCTTGATGTCAGTCACTTTCTCACCAACTTGTGGGAGTTTCACTCAGTTCTCTCTAAAAATATTTCATGTCAACTGCTCGGACGAGCTTTTTTTTTCACTGGCGCCCTAACTACAGAAATGTAAGCGATTTACTAGATTGGCATCTAGATTCCATCCTTTTAAATTTTAATTAATTAAATGCAATCGCCACTTCTACTCTAACAGTTTCTTTTATTGAACTTCCCGCCTGTGGATCTCTCTTTCGTTTACTTGATTCCCTGATAAACTCTTCAAAAATTTAAATGCAACCTCAACCGCCATTTTCCACCTCCTTGAATCCCTCTTATGTGTTATCTTTTTATCAATCGCCACTATACACAGGCTTTTCTCTAATTTTCACTCTCTGTAAAACCCTGAGAACTAGTGGTATTACCGCCTTGCTTAGTGAGAAAGGATAAAAAAAAAGGATTATCGTTAATATGAAAGCTAGAAGACAGAAGTTACATCCACGGGCGAGTGGTGTGAGAGAAGAAACTATTAGAAAAGAACTTACGCCTCCATATTCGAAACTAATATAGTACTGCGCTTAAATCTGTGAAGACGTCCTACCATATTGGAAAGCTCATCAGAACAATTAAAATGAAATTGTTTATAGGGAAGATACAGATAAAGCAGGTGACAACGTTAGGATAAAGAATGATAACATGATGCCAGTTTACGTACTTGAAAGGGATTTGAAGAAGTTTGCTCATATAAGGAATTCTTAAGCTGGAAAGAAAATGTTGACATGCTGTTCCAGAGATGTTCAACTATTAAAAGGAAGGAAACTGATCGAGGGAGTTCAAAAAACGGCGTATATAAAAAGGTCTTTTGCTGATCGAGGCACTACTATCATATGGAAGTCAGGGTGTTTGTCTACACGCAACGAGACAAGTTTGATCTTTTTTCTACTCTTCCGGCGAGTGCCTTTATGTGGGTGAAACAGCTAATTGCAGAATGGCGTCTCGCGGTCTCTGACTGCGCACGCCTCCTGTCGAACTCTCTGCGTAGCCCTGATCAAAACATAGCTGACCTGTAAAGATTTACTTTGTGTCACTCATTTCAACAAATAATTCTTTTGTCAAATGAAAACAACACTCAAGTTAAACAAACCTAAGACCTAAGACGGCACGTATCGAAACCATCCCATCCAAGCTGACAATTTTAATACGCACGATATACTCCATAATTGATAGAAAACAGAAAATTCATCGTATCGCAGTGGTATAACATGAAAAATATTTTCTTTCATTAGAAATAAAAATTAGGTCGCCAGTCAGTATTTGACACCAGTTAGGTTGTGATAGAAAAGGGATTAGAATTCTTGGATTCAAGGCGGCTGAAGAAAAGGACTGACATGGCATATAAATCTTTGAAGATGAAGACAAAACGCCGTAAGAGATTTCCACGAGCGAGAAGTGTGAGAAAAGAAATGATTTGAATAAAAATTTACGAGTATATTTTCGCCATGAAAATGAATGAGACTTATCTGCCAATGTAGTACTGCGGTCAAATCCGTGCCACTGTGCTGACAAAAAAGAAAAGAATGCTCATCAGCACAATGGCTCTGAAAATATTCATATAAAATAACACGGAAACCACAGCGTTGGGAAAATGAATGAAGCCGAGATGTCAATTTAAGGTAGATGCCATAAATATTCCGAAAATAAACATCAAGATCAGATTAAATATATCATAAAATATATAAACTAATTCATCAATGACATCTGGAGTTCTAAATTGTAAGTGTGTGAAGTGTTCGTATGGAGAACAATGTATATTTCAGCTCGATTCCCGTGGAATATATATTTAAATATGAATTTTGGAAGGCATAAATAAATTTTCAGAAAAAATAGAAGGTATATCTTATATGAAACATATCGTACATTATATAATAAATGTATTCAACGTTAATATTTTCGTGTTTTATGTTTAGACTGCTCTTTAATTTAATAGCACTATAGTTATCAAAAACATCTGAAGCACATATTTGTTTATCGAATTAATAGTTTGATTTTCTTTAAAAAAATCGATCCTATATATCCATGAAGCAATAAATGAGCTCTAGATATTTAAACAGATTCGCCAATGTGTCAATCTGTTTGCGAAACATTTCCTCGATATCGTAGAATATTTAAGACATCGGTCTTAACCCAATCGGAAACTAACACAATCATTTACTATCAATTTGGTTTTTAATTAGAAAATTTCTCGCTCTCAATTAGACAAAATCATTGTAAAAGAAGTTCTATATACAAAGTTACAGTGTACTATTTAAACGCATTGAATTCTATGAAGATCGTTATATTACAGTATTTAGGGACATGCAATAAAACATCGACATATACAGATGAAAAAATGAATTCAAATAACTTCATCATAATTTAAATGTCCAGTGTTAATGTCAACGCATCTGATGTTGCTTCTTTCTTATTTCAGTAAAACCTGATTGTACATGTAAAGCTTCGGGAGATCCTCATTACAGAACATTCGACGGGCAAATGATCAATTTCATGGGAATTTGCAAGTATACTTTGGCCAAAAGCGCTAAGAATGCTTCCCATTTCTTCGCCGTTGAAGTTAAGAATGAACACCGCGGAAACACACGGGTATCATACACTCGAATGGTTGATGTCAAACTTAAAGGCGTCACAATTAGACTGTTACCTAAGAATAAAATTCTCGTAAGTAAAAATCAATACGAAAGTATGTCGCTTTTTTAATTGGTCAAAATGTGAAATAGTAAGATCGTAACATAAAGTCCCAGTAAATTAGTGACATAAAAAGTCGTATGGATCAACTCTGAAATTAACAATCTGAGGTTGCACTTCTATGCTTTCATTGGCGTTTACCCAAACATTTTTTTCTGTTTATCGCTATATATTTAAAAATTGGAAATAAGCCTAAATTTAGAAAAATAAGTTATATAAAATTAATATGACATATATGGTTTGGTAATGAAATCTAAGAAAGAATCAAGTTTCAAAATAAGAAATAAATTTCAAAAGTTTGCGATAATATGTACTTCAGTTTATCATAATTTAATTATAGGTGAATGGAGAAAAGAGAACACTTCCCATCACCAACGTTTGGGGATTCTCGGCCACATATTCTGCTGGCTGGATTACAGTGACAACCAAATGGGGACTCAAAGCTGAATTTGACGGTAAACACAGAGCGACTGTAAAGTTACCAGGGTCATTTGCCAATAAATTGACTGGTATCTGTGGTGACTGTAACGGAAAGAAGGATGACTACCGTACAAAAGAAGGGAGAGATGTATCGAAGGAATCCAATAAATTCTCATTAATTGGAACTAGCTACAAAGTGGGTGATGACAGCGACAAGCCGAACAACAAGTGAATAAAAATTTTGAATTTTCTTCTTATAAATGAACAACAAAATAATGAATAATATATTTAAACATAATTGTTAATATTCTTATACTTTCCTAATTCATTCTAAATTATTTGTTGAAATGAATATCTCCAAATAATATACAAATAGTAATCTATATTCCCTTTAAAATAGAATTTGTAATTATTATGCTTTTGGATGAACTGATACGAGATTGCAACAAAAGCGATTTTAGCTTAACTGAAAAAAAAGATTACTACATTTATGAGTTTCGAGACAATCCATTTCATTTCCTTTGATATCATTTTATAATAAGATATCGATTACAATATCGAAGCATTGCATTACATTGAATCAACTTCATAGCCATCAATAATTATTAAGTAAAATTTATCAAAATTGACTCTTGATATTTCTAAACAGTTAACGTTATGAGAACTTAAATTTATTACTTCAGCGATATTTTTAAATTCATAGAAATGATAAGTTTTGATAAAATGGATCTGATATTTAATTTTAATTTTAAGGTGTGACGTAACTGATGTCAAGACGAATTGTACTTCGATTGAAACCCGAAAATGCAATGTGATCATGAAGACAATTTTCAAATCGTGCCGGCAAAAACTAGGAGAGTTACGTGTCAAAGAATATGTTGATTCTTGTAAAATCGACGCTTGTGTATATCACAAAAACAGAAAAATATTTGATAAAGTTGTTTGTGAAGCCATTGAAGGGTTTGCGCGAGAATGCGAACAAGCTGGAATCGTTGTTGAATGGAGAAATGTTGCAAAATGTGGTAAGTATTGCGAAATAATGTATTACATTAGGAAAGGTAACAACGATTTTATTGTAGCACGTTTGTTATCCAAACAAAGAGACAACAGAATTAATATGAAATGTAAAGACATTTTTCTGAATATTAAGAAATAATTCTCATATATAAGAAAGCAGAGATAGATGTACCCGTTTACTGTAATAGTTTCAGACATTAGTTGAATCGAAAGAAACTGTTTTTGTGAATCAATGATAATGATAGATCTATCGTCCAAACTACTAATCAGGCATTAAGATCAAGAATATATATGGAGTAGGCAAACACACTACAATATCAACATAAAAGACAGTGAAATGACAATATTAAACCTCCGCAAATGACCGCAATATACAGAAATTGAGTTTGTTCATGGAAGACATGTATGCATCTAGTGAAAACGTCCCCGTTTCATTCATTTAGTCCTTAAAACGCATTAAAACAATAAATGCACAACTGAACATTCAGCAGCTGCAACCTGTACATAAACTCATGGTCAAACATATCAATAATCCTTCTATAAGATAACTATTATTATTATCCATGGCAATTTAACAACACATACAAAATGTATAACAGGAGAAAAAATGTACATCTTGTGTAGTTTATTCTATCCCACACGGCATACTCACCTGACCTTACACGAACCGATTATTATCATACTCAATCGCTAAAGTGCACATGGAGTGAGTAAGATTTAACTGAAAGATTCAAGATACTACGTGCTGAAACATTTCCCAAATTATATTGATAAGATGTCCGATAAGTGTTGACACGACATTAAAAATAAGAGGGAATATTGAATTAAATAAATGATTATTGTAGTTTGGTGAATATGCTTCATAAAAATAAACACAGATTTTTTACACATCCTCATGTTTTTGTTTTTTTTACAAAATCCTTCCCAGTAAAAGAATTGTAACTTCTATATTTTTGTTCATTCTAAAATCATACGCAGTAATATTGTTCAGACAATGAATACAGTGTGAATTTGATAAATGCAACTATTAGATTAATATTGTGACATATTATTTACAGAGATGAAATGTGGTCAACACCAGGTGTATAAATTTAATGCATTTGTGTGCCAACCAACTTGCAGCAATCGAGCTCCGAAATGTACAGATCGGGCAGAGGGATGTGTATGTAAAAAACCTTATGTACTGAGTGGAGACAAGTGTGTCCCGATTTCGAAATGTGGTTGCAACAATAAAGGAATCTACATGGCTGTAAGTAAAGTGATAAGTTGTAAATAGATGAAAATGTTATTGTTCATAATTGTTCTATATTCAATGCAATTCCTCGAATTAATTACAGAGAAAATGGACCATGATCTGTGAAATATATTAAGTTACAAATTTTCAAAGTAAATATTCTGTGTGGTTCAGTGTTTCTCCAATATGATTACGCAAATAATAATACACGAATACACTTAATTTATAAAAAATGCAACTTTGAGTAAAACAATGCTTCATTTACTCCGGACGACATATATTTCTTATCCATATAAAAAATTCCTTAGAAAATATACAAGTAAATGGGGTGAATATATTATGAAATAGTAATTATATTCTTTTTTGTTAAATTCATGGAATATACATTAGAATTTTCAGCTATTCCCGACGAATTAACTTCCGTTAAATGACCACTCCATGTATTGCTCTCTCATTATTATAAGATAGGATTTAATTTGAACTCTGATTAAAAAAAGTGCGTACAAATGATTTTTATTGCAGCTTAATGAAGTTATAATTAACAAGAAATGCACAAAGAAGACCATGTGCTCAAAGAAATAACAAGCTGGAAACCAGTAATCTGAAAGAATGTACAGGCAATCGAGAATGTATTATTAAAAATGGTGTTCGTGGTTGTATATGCAAACACGGATTTCAACTCACAAATGGAAAATGCCTCAAAACAGGTATGTAATTGTTCATTAATACGTCAATGAGTAAAAATAAAATACTGAATATTTATCAAGTTATTTTTTTACATATTCATCTTTCTCCCACATATCAAATGAATAATATCTCGACGCAAAATGATTTTTATCTAGTAACTATAACAGTAGAACGACATTTACTAATCATCTTGTATCTATTTATGATTGTAATACTTTGTATTCATTATGCCGAAGAACTTGATAACCATAACACCAGATCAAAGTACTCAGATCCCGCAATTGTATACAATCACGTATTCTTCTTCAATAAGAGAATATACCTTGGATTTTATTATTCATCTCGTGATTTCAATCCAAAAAGTGTATTACAAATTTATTAGTAAAATGGAACTTTGGATGAGTTATTATGAAAATAGATCCCTATGTAAATATGATCCGTTGTTAAAAGCATTTCAATTTTGTGCTAAAAAACTCAAGAAAATATATATTTTCTTTTTTTCCAGTTGTACCGCCACCTATAAGTAAAGGTACGTAATATTTACTTCAATGAAATAATGGTTTATTTTCGGACTATTTAATGGCTCGTATCAATATTTTAAATGATTAATCAAAACGTAAATTTTCAGTGTTAATTTGCACATTTAAAACGTTCAAATTTGAATTTCCGAAGAGTTTTCAAAAATATAACTGTGAATTAAATATATGTCTTTTCAATATAAAGATGCTGTTGTTACATATGTACATATTCATCATTAAATCTACACTTCATAATTCGCTAAAAATATCAGCCTATTAATTAATATGTGAAATTAAATAAAATATCATCTGCAGGTGTTAAGACTTTCTGACATCAATATTTACTGGTCAATATCCTAACGCACATTGTCTCCCTCTTTTCAGCCTGTGAGAAAACAGTGGCTGATATTGTGTTTCTGCTTGATGGTTCCGGAAGCGTGAAAAAACATAACTTCAAGAAAGTTAAGGAATTCGTGGTAAAACTGGTCCACTCTTTGAAAATAAGCAAGAATCAAGTCCGTGTGGCTGCAGTTACATTCAGTAAAAAAGCAGTCATTAATTTCAAACTTAATACGCACGATAATAAGAAAGACTTGATAGAAGCAATCAGGAATATCAAATATCCTAAGAGAAGTACTAACACACATCTGGGCCTGAAACTACTCAAAACTGTCTTTAAAATCGAAAACGGAGATCGATTAGATGCACCCAATATTGCCATTGTCGTCACCGACGGAAAATCAAATAAAAAAAAATTCAACAATAAAGAGGCTAAAAATCTTCAAAAGGCAGGTGTACTGATGTTCAGCATTGGTATTGGGAATAAACTTCGAGATTCAGAATTGACAGCCATGGCAAGTAAACCGACATCAGAATATAAATTCACAGTTGGCAACTTTGACGCCTTACATAGTATTTCAGAGAAAATAATGAAGAAGACATGTGAAGGTATGGGAATTTGTATATATTTAAAAATAGTTAAAATGAGATTCTAATGTTAATGCTGTCAGCATTTTCCTGTATACAACTGCTGACGGGTTTAATCTTGAAAAACAAATGTCTCACATGTGGTCACTATTCTCTGCTTGAAAACATAATTTCTTCTCGATTTTTACGACATGGTTAAAGCTAAAAGTGATGGAATTATAAATAGTTCATCGTTATTCATCTTTTCAAATGTAATAATTATTAATAATTAAAGTTATCCTATAAACGCTTGCATAATATGTAGAATATGATTATACAAATATTTTCTTTTATTTCGTTTGTACATCCCACAGCAATTCATTTATATTAAACTGTTTTTTTTTATTATTAAACACATAATGATAAGAAACCTTGTCCTTATATCGCGTTAAGTAATGAAGATGATATAAAAATTGATTTCTTCATTATTCTTACTACAATTTTATATATATTCAAATTTTATAATTATTTCAATGTTATGCTAACAATATTATTCACAATATTAATAACGTAACGAATATTATTATTCAAAAGATTTCCTTTACTTTCAGTTGTACCACCCCCAGGAATTCAAGGTTAGTAATATTATCTTTTGTTATTAAATATATCTTTTAAGAATATATTATCTTTTGTTATTAAATATATCATTTTATATATATATATATATATATATATATATATATATATATATATATATATATATATATATATATATATTATTAAGCTTCTAAATAATAATAATCTTTTAAACAATAGACATGAGTTAACGGTTTTCTGTCGACATCATCAGATTTATGGTTTGAATTATTAGCTAAAAACAAGCATACAATATAATAACTTGATTAATCCATAGCCCAATCATCAGATTCATGGTCTGAATAATTAGCTAAGAACAAGCATACAATATAATAACTTGATTAATCCATAGCCCAAATAAATAGTTTAAATACCCTACAAAAAAGATAACCCTTTATGAAGTCGTCAAAAAACAATCGTTACGGCAGTTTTTTATATGCACAAATCCTTTCATAAAAAAAATAAAATAAAAAAATAAATAAATCTCCATAGACACGCATGCCAGACTAGGGTTAATACATCTTCCGTTTCAAATTTAGACACCTCCACCTTTCCCTGACTTGACATCTATGAAAGTAACTCTATATTGATACTTATTATTAACACCCAACACACGCCTCCCCAATTTAAACAATTCGCCCTAGCTGTTACCATGGAAATTTTGATTTCAATTATTAAAACACGTAAATTTCAGAAATACGTTATTCCAAAAAAAAATTTCGCTTGAAGATGGAACAGAGCTTGCTTTAACTCAAATTAATTCAAATTATTATATTGAAGTTTTCGGCTCTTGTTTTGAAACATGAGAACCTCTTATGTCACGAGTTGGAATCATATTTTTAAATAAATAATTATATTTATGCTCTACTTTTGTATCGAGCACTATTTTCTAAAAATAATAACTAAAATAATAAGGAACTTTGGATTATTTACCTAACCAGTTCATTCCTATTTTCTATATATTTTCACATATTATATATATATATATATATATATATATATATATATATATATATATATATATATATATATTATTATTATTATTATTATTATTATTATTATTATTATATTATTATTATGTGTGTTTGTGTGTATTGGATATATTTTAGAAAAAATCCACAAACAGACAATTGATTACTGAAGAGGAAAAGAAATTGAGAAAACACCTGGATAAAAACGGAATGAAGAATAACATTGACTTTGCATATAAATCTTTAACGGACATCCAATTAGTGGTTAACTGGGGCAGGAAATGGCTTGTAAATCTTAATACCTACAAATCGAAATGTCTCTAATTTAAGTAGAATAGAGACACTTTCCCTCCCGACATCAGCATGTTTGATGCTAAACTCCCGGTGATCAACACACTCCACCTTCTTGGTTTCATGTTTTCAAATGACATTTCATGTTTTCAATCGCCATCATAATATGTACATAGTGTATTTAAATAGTCTGTTCTTTTTTTTTTTGGTGGTGGTCGTGGTGGGGATTCTCGATTATCACTTTATAACGTTCGTATATTGTTATAATTGTATTTTATCTATTATTAGCTTTATTTATTTTGTATCGATTTAGAGCAAAATATATATAATAAGAATCCTTGTCTTTCTTTCACATTTTATTACAACTATTTTCTCTTAAAGATTACAGGAATATATTGTAAGGTAGATATCATTTTTTTCCGTAATTTAACTTATTTCAAGAGTATTTGTAGTTTTTTGTATTATAACCGTCTCCATAATTTGTAAACGGTGTATTTTTATCACTTTTAATGAATATTGTTGTGTTTTGTCGTTTACATTATTTGTGTACAGTTAAGACACACGGCATGTATATGGACAATTAATTGAAAGTTGAGAATACGTCAATTTATAAGTTAACTGACCTGTAATCATTTAAAGCATCAGGTTAAACAATAAAAATGTAATAGCAGCGTTGAGTTTAAGAAGAACTCCCACGAACTACAATTTAAAAAAAAACCGTAAATATTTAGAGAAAGGTATCAAACCATAACAAAAAGTGTCAAATTTAATAACGTTAAATAACCTGCTCGTTTATCCATTGAAACTGCTATCCACCGAAAAAGGAAGAAAAGAATCCAGTACCATTTAAAAGAGAGTTCGCACAGTGGATTGGTTGTTACAAAAATCCAATAGTGTGTGCGAAATGTTTGGTCTAATTTCGCTTAATTCATTAAAAATGTCAGAGTATCTGCTAGCGTTTGATTGTAAGGTGGGAAACAGAGATTGATCTCCCTTGATTGGGTCGACTTGATGATGGGGTGTATGACATTGAAAGACCCAAACTTCCCTGAAGAACCAAGTCAGTTTACATCACTGACGACGCACTTCGGCGCTTACTTAGCTTATATTTGTATCAATCCTGATTTGTCATCTTCACATCAGTCACTTTCTCACCAACTTGTCGGAGTTTCACTCAGTTCTCTCTAAAAAATATTTTATGTCAACTGCTCAGAGGAGCTTTTTTTTCACTGGTGCCCTAACTTCATAAATTTAAGCGGTGTACTAGATTGGCATCTAGCTTCCATCGTTTTAAATTTTAATTAATTAAATGCAATCGCCACTTCTACTCCAACAGTTTCTTTTATTGAACTTCCCGCCTGTGGATCTCTCTTTCGTTTACTTGATTCCCTGATAAAATCTTCAAAAATTTAAATGCAACCTCAACCGCCATTTTCCAGCTACTTGAATCCCCGTTATGTGTTATCTTTTTATCAATCGCCACTATACACAGGCTTTTCTCTAATTGTCACTCTCTGAGTAAAACCCTTAGTACTAGTGGTATTACCGCCTTGCTTAATGAGAAAGGATAAAAAAATGATTATCGTTAATATGAAAGTATGAAGCCAGAAGATACATCCACAGGCGAGAGGTGCGAGAGAAGAAACTATTAGAAAAGCACTTACGCCTCGATATTCGAAATTAAAATCATGAGACCTATATGCCAATCTACTACTGCGCTTAAACTGTGAAGATGTGCTACAATACTGGAAAGCTCATCAGAACAATTAACCTGAAAACATTTATAGGAAAGATACAGGAAAACCAGGTGACAACGTTTGGAAAATGAATGATGACGAGATGCCAGTTTACGTATTACTAAATTTTTCCTCATTAAATTGAACATTCGACGGAAGAAATAATTCATTTCATTGATTTAAAAGAATACTTTAGCCAAAAGCACTAGGAATCATTTACTTCTTCGCCGTTGAATACTTATGAACACCGCGGAAACACCCGGGTACATCATACACTCGAATGGTTGATGTCAAACTTAAAGGCGTCACTATTAGACTGTTGCCAAGGAATAAAATTCTCGTAAATAAAAAAACACAAAGACATATTTAACATGTGTATACATATAATAAAAATATCTTTACTCACACAATTTATTTCCAACAAAACTAATGACAAATGAACGATTCCGTCATAATCTGATCTTATATTTTTACACAAGTTCAACTACAAAAATTTTTTCGCCGTTCACACAAACGCACAATCGTTAGGGTTGGATCATGATCAATCTGGTTGATGTCAAACTGTCGAAGGCGTTAGATGTTATGTTTATTATTTACGAATAAAAATAAGTAATAAAAATCAATACGAGCTCTGGATATATTTTTTATTGTCGTCTTTCATTTATATTTATTTGTGCAAACTTTATTATTTTCCATAGACGCTTTTGTATCCGACGTTAATAAATTTTTTTTATCATTTTTCGGGAAACATTTCACAGATCAACAGATACATTTACTAATTTTAAGATTATAAATTCATCAAATTTTAAACAAAAATTACAATAAAACAAGCAAAAATAAAAATGTATAAAGAAATTGCCCTCACCGTCTCATTTTCTCTTGCAATTTTCATGTATGTTGAGATAGATTTTTGAAGTCCAAATGGGGGAAATCATTTTAATCGGATCTTACATTTCATAAGTTTGGTTTGTTTTTAGCGATATTAAATGTATATAAGCATGAAATGTGTCAGACCCCAATCTCTGCATATATATGCGTGTATGTTCAAAACAATTTCAACCTCATTTATCTATTTATTTAAATTTCAGTAAAATCAATATTTGGCACTAAGGCCTGCACAGACTCATTAATTCAAATAATGAAAAAAAAATGAAACAATATTAGCGAAACTCATTGCATATAATTAATTAATTTCATATATAAAATTAAAATCAAATCAGAATGCTAATTCCATCAATATTATAATACACTTGGTCTACATGGACATTATTCCTTGTTGGAATGAGGATGATCCCGGCATTCCCAAATTGAAAGATTGTTCATCATCTGGTGCTTGAACATCCAGCATTGTGATTTGTATCCGTCAGATGAAAAACTTAAACAGATAGAAATTCAATTTAAATAAAATGAATAAAATTAGTAACATAATTTTTTGATTGATACTGAGTTTTATATTGCACAAAAAAATGTGTACTATTTATAAATGTTTGTTTGATGCAAAATCAATTTTGTTTCTTCAAAATACCAAAAAATCATTGTTTAATTGTGCGTTTTGTTGATGTGAAATCTTGATTTGTAGGACTCAAATTTTGGCCTGATCTGCAATTCGGCTCAAATTGGTCCGAAAGTGGAATTATTGTTGGAATTTTAGTTAAAGTGGTGTTTTCATTCCATGGAGTTAATTAATTAATTCAAATTTGTTTCTTCAAAATTATCTTTGCTCGTTTCTGAGTGCATAAAATTTCCTATTCGTTTTGAGCTTGAGTCCGTAATAGCCACCCGCAGCAAGAAGCATGAAAAATCCGTAAGGAGTGCCTCATTTCAACGAGCTTTGTAATATATATAATATTTTATAATAAAATGATACAAGAAACATACTATATTTTTCCAATGCTAATGTAAATATCAGTTTGTCTTAATTGAATATGTTGTTTGTAGGTGAATGGTGAAAAGAGATCACTTCCCATCAGTAATGTTTGGAGATTCTCGGCTACATATTCTGCTGGATGGATTACAGTGACAACAAAATGGGGTCTCAAGTTGAATTTGACGGTAGACACAGAGTGACTGTAAAAGTTCCTGGTTTATTTCGGAATAAATTGACTGGAATCTGTGGCAACTGCAACGGAATCAAAGACGACTACCGTACAAAACAAGGAATAGATGTGTCGAGGAATCGAAATAAATACTCGTTGATTGGAAGTAGCTACAAAGTGGCCGATGACAGCGACAAACCAAACACCAGGTGAATAAAAATTTTGAATTTTCTTCTTAAAATGAACAACAAAATAATGAATAATATATTTAAACATAATTGTTAATATTCTTATATTTCCGAATTCATTCTAAATTAATTGTCGAAATGAATTGATCTCCTAAATAATATACAAACGACAAATCTATATTTTATTAAAATAAAATTGGTTATCTCTTTTTATTTAAACTGTTCTAGAATAATGTCGAATCGAAATTTAACTTCACTGAAAAAACTGATTTCATGTGACTATATTTCATTTAGTATAAATTTGGTAAAAATGCTTTTTTTCTTTTTGTTGTCTTAAAATTTGATAAAATTACATCAAAATCGATTTTAACATAACTGACAAAACCGACTTAATAAATTCATGAGTTTCGTGAGAAAGCATTTGATTCCACTTTATTTATTAAGCAAAAATATCATCAAAATAGACTTTTTATATTTTAAACTGTAAACGTTATGATAACTTACTTTACGTTAATTTATTACTTCAGCAATATTTTAAATTCCTAGAAATAATATAAGTTTTGATAAAAATGGATCTGATATTTAATTTTAAGGTGTGACGTAACTGATGTCAAGACGAATTGTACTTTGATTGAAACCCGAAAATGCAATGTGATCATGAAATAGATTTTCAAATCGAATGCCGGCAAAAACCTGGGAGAGTCACGTGTCAAAGAATATGTTGGTTCTTTTAAAATCGACGTTTGTATATTTCACAAAAACAGAAAAATATTTGATAAAGTTGTTTGCAAAGCCATTGAAGGGTTTGCTTCAGAATGCGAACAATTTGGAAAACGTGTGTTGAATGGAGAAATGTTGCAAAATGTGGTAAGTATTTAAGAAGAAATGAACGCTAGTAGGAAATATAATATATAATATATATTTTTTTAAAAAAAATATATATACTTCCAAATTTAGATTATTTTGTATATTTTATAGATTTCCGTACATTAATCAATGCTTTTAATCTTTTCACGTTCAAAAATTTGCCTGACTCATTTTCCGTATAATGATGACTTTTTTTTTCATATTCGCTGCTTCTACTTGTTCCATGTGATCAATTTTGAATGACCACGAATAATATTAATTCTTTACAAAATCAAATATTCAAAATTAATAAAATTAATCATAATGATTTTAATACCCCAACGTTTCAGTTCCTTTGAACTATTTTACAATTTGCATTCGATCGAAGAAAATATTCAGGAACTACAAAAAATAGTATTATTTCGTAACAATTTCCACACATATTTTTTCATCAAAATACACAATAGAATTCATATGAAATGTAAAGATATTTTTCTGAATATTTTGCATTTATTTTATATATGAGAAGGCCTATTTAGATTTACCCGTTTACTGTGGTAAAACAGGTGTCCCAAGGCAAAGCTCATACTGAGGACGGAAACCTCGCGTCATTCTTTCCTCAAAAGATTTTCAGTACGAATATCGGACTGCTAGAAAACGTGGCCCTTCGATCCTTTCCGAGCGGAAAGCTTTCGTTCCGCCGAGAGGTGTCAGAAAAATTTATTTGTAAGGATCATACTTCTATTTTAACATTATTTGGTTTTATTCCACAGGGATAACTGAATTGTGGCGGCCAAGCGTTCGTATTTTACGTCGCTTTTGATTAAGACATTAATTTTTCTGAATCGAAATATATATTTTATTGAAGAATGATTCTCTTTACGTCTATCCTCCAAACTACTAATCAGGCATGAAGATTAAGTATATATTTGGAGTAGGCAAACACGCCAAAATGTTCACCATAAAAGACAGTGAATTAACAATATCAAAACTCCACAAACGACAGCTATGTCTGAACATTGCGTTCATTCATGGAAGAAATATGTGAATCTGCTGGAACCGTCTCCGTTTCCTGTATTTAGTTTCCTTAAAATGCATTGAAACAATAAATGCACATTTGACGTCCAGCAGCTGCAACCTGCACTTAAACATATGGTAAAAAAATGACATGAATGCCTCTGTAAGAAAACTGTTGTTATCTACCATGAAAATTTAACATCACATACAAAATGTATAACAGGAAAATAAATGTAAAACTTGTTTAGTCTATTCTATCCCACACGCCATACACGCCTGTCCTTGCACTAACCGATCATTACCATATTCAATCGCTATAAAACGCTTTGAGTGGGTGAAATGTAACTGAAACCAACATTCAAAATATTACTGAAAACGTTTTCTCTCCGAAACGTGCTGAAATTTTACTCGAAATATATTGATGTGCTGTCCGATAAGTGTCAACATAACATTACAAATAATATTAAATATTGAATTGAATAAAATACAATTGTACTTTGGTGAATATATTACATAAAGACAAACAAAATTTGTTTAACTCGACCTGATGTTATTCTTTAAAATTATTTCCAGTAAGTACCCTGTAATTTCTATATTTTAGTCCATTCAATAAACATACGAAGCAATATTTTACGGTATGAATTTGATAAAAACAAAATATTAGATTAATATTGTGACATATTTTTACAGAGATGAAATGTGGTTAACACCAGGTGTATAAATTTAATGCATTTTCCCGTTCCAACCAAATATCGCCTTTTCTAAGACTTTTCAGCAATCGATCCCCCCTCTTGTACAGATCAATTTGAGGGATGTGTATGTAAAAAACCTTATGTACTGAGTGGAGACAAGTGTGTCCCGATTTCGAAATCAAAAACAACAATAAAGGAATCACATGGCTTTAAGTTAAGTCGATAACAAGTAAATAGATGAAAATGTTATTGTTCATAATTGTTCTATATTCAATGCATTTCCTCGATCTAAGTACAGAGAAAACGAATAATAATCATTGAAATATATTAAGTTACAAATTGTCAAACCAAATTTTCTGACAGCTTCAATATTTCTTTAATATGATTGCGCAAATAATAATACATTAAAACAAATAATTTTTTAACAATATAACTTTGAGTAAAACAATCCTTCATTTAATCAGAACGACATATATTTCATATCCACAGAAAAATTCTCAGTTTTTCTCAACAAAATACCTTTCGTTAAATGACTACACCAGCTATTCCTCTATCGTTATTATAACAATGGTTTTTATTTGAACTCTGGTCAAAAACTGAGTATAAATATTTTTTATTGCAGCTTAATGAAGTTATAATTAACAAGAAATGCACAAAGAAGACCTTGTGTTTAGGAAAAGACAAATTGGAAACCAGTAATCTGAAAGAATGTACAAGAAATCGTGAATGTATTATTAAAAATGGTGTTCGTGGTTGTATATGCAAACACGGATTTCAACTCAAAAATGGAAAATGCCTCGAAACAGGTATGCAAGTGTTCATTCATATTTGAATTCTGCATAATTGCACGTATTCACGAAATAATATGCAGGCATTGATGAGCAGATATGCAAAATCTTGTTGCTACGCCGATTGAAGAGTTATTATTTTTTTAAATTCACTTCATTGTGTAAGATAAATAGATTTTAATTAAGCAGAAAAAACGATAATTTAAAACAAATCAAACGCCAGATGCAAGTAGAAAATCATGGGTATCCATGTTTTTTTCTCTATACTTCCAACTTTAGATTATTTTGTATATTTTATAGATTTCCGTACATTAATCAATGCTTTTAATCTTTTCACGCGCAAAATATTTGCCTGACTCATGTTCCGTATAATGATGACTTTTTTTCCGTTTTCGCTGCTTCTACTTGTTCCATGTGATCAATTTTGAATGACCACGAATAATACTCTTGAGAATACACTGTCAAATATTCAAAACTTATAAAAATTAATCATACTGATTTTTAGACTCCAACGTTTCAGTTCCAAACTCTATATTTATGATCTGGCATTTGATCGAAGAAACTATAAAGGGGAATAATTTATTTACGAGTCAACATCCCCAGTTCAATAAATCTAGCGATATATTTTTTTGTCTTCTGAAAACATTTTTGGGTATCAATGTCTTCAATAAAATTGCAGAAATATTTAACTCTCATAGCACAATTTGAAATTCTGGAATAATACGTCAATAAGTAAAATAAAATACTGAATATTTATCAAGTTATTCGTTTACACATTCATCTTTCTCCTTCATATCAAATGAATAATGTCTGTACGCAAAATGGATTAAATCTAGTAATTGTTACAGCAGCAAGATATTTACTAATCAATATACATCTATACTTGACTGAATGTAATATTAATCAGTCTTGATTTACGAAGAACTTGCTAACCATTACACCAAATCAAAGTGCTCAGATTCCGACATATAAGAAAATTAAGACAATTGTATACAATCAACTATTGTTCTTCAATAAGAAGATATACGTTTGATTTTATGATTTGTCTCGCGGTTTCAATAAAAAAATTAATTCAAAATTATTAGTAAAATGAATCGTTGGATGTTTAATTATGAAAACAGATACCTATTTAAATGTGTTCATTTGTTAAAAGCATTTTACTTTTGCGCTTAAAAACTCAACAAAAAACATATTTTCATTTTTACCAGTTGTGCCGCCACCATTGAGTAAAGGTACGTAATAGTTACTTCCATCAAATAATGGTTTATTTTCGGACTAATTAATGACTCGTATCAATGTATTAAATAATTAATCAAACAGTAAATTTTCAGTTTTTTCTTGCGCATTTAAAACGTTCCCGTTTGAATTTTCGAATAGTGTTCAACAATCTAATTAACTGTAAATTAAATACACATGTCAAATGTTTGCAAGCTAAACGATGCTGTTGTGATATGTGTACATATTCATCTTTACACATGAAACTTCATAATTTATTTAAATATCCGTCCTAATAATTAATATATCAAATGATATAAATTACAGCTCTAGTTTTTCAGAAAATCTGACATCAATGTTTATTCGTCGATATTCTAACACATAACATGTCCCTTTTCAGCCTGTGAGAAAACAGTGGCTGATATTGTGTTTCTGCTTGATGGTTCTGGAAGCGTGAAAAAACATAACTTCAAGAAAGTTAAGGAATTCGCGGTAAAACTGGTCCAATCTTTGAAAATAAGCAAGAATCAAGTCCGTGTTGCTGCGATTACGTTCAGTACAGAAGCAGTCATTAATTTCAAACTTAATACGCACGATAATAAGAAAGACTTGATAGAAGCAATCAGGAATATCAAATATCCTAAGAGAAGTACTAACACACATCTGGGCCTGAAACTACTCAAAACTGTCTTTAAAATCGAAAACGGAGATCGATTAGATGCACCCAATATTGCCATTGTCGTCACCGACGGAAAATCTAATAAAGAAAATTCAACAATAAAAGAGGCTAAAAATCTTCAAAAGGCAGGTGTGCTGATGTTCAGCATTGGTATTGGGAATAAACTTCGAGATTCAGAATTGACAGCCATGGCAAGTAAACCGACATCAGAATATAAATTCACAGTTGGCAACTTTGACGCCTTACATAGTATTTCGGAGAAAATAACGAAGAAGACATGTGAAGGTATGTGTATGTCTATTCATTTAACATCAGCTGAAAAGTGAATACTCAAGTTAATACTGTTAACATTATTCAATTTCTACCTGCTGACGTGTTTAATCTTAAAGAACAGATTTATCTCATTTATGACGTTTAAACTTTACTTTAAATCAAATTTCTTCATATTTCTTCCTACCTGATTAATACTAATAATTTAATCTGTTCAAAATTTGATAATTATTTTAATGTTATGCTAACGATAATATGCGCAATAGTAATGACCAACATTTTTTATTCAAAGATTCTTATTCTTTTCAGTGCCACCTCCCATAATAATTAAAGGTTAGTAATAATTCCTCTTGTTATTTAATATATATTTTTAAGAAACTATATATGTCTCCTATATCAAGTGATGTTTACTTACAAATATTCGATTAGAAGTTAACTATTAGATATTAGGTATCTCTAATTTTCATGACAGAAACTTGACAGAAAAAAACGATGGAGATTTTTCATTTTAATGTCAATTTTTTCATGTAATCAAAAGCAGAAAGAAAGTGAAAAATTCTCATATGAATATTAGTTCTATACCTTATCCAGAATCTGTGATATCTGCATTTAGAAATATTGTCTACTTTGTGTATATACTGTCACCATAATTCATGGTATTTTGGTGTTTTAAAAACACGTTTATTTTTTTTTTTATTCTCCAAAATTAATTAAATTCGATTTTTCATTTATATAAGTCGGAAATACACGTATTATTTATCGCTACTTTTTTAAATTGTTCATTTTTAATTTTCTATCGAGGCTCATCACTTAGAATTTTACACTTTTAAAATATGTCCTTGAAATAAATACTAAAAAAATAAAAATAAATTCATAAGAAAAGACGAGACGGATGTCTTAGTTTGTAATTTAAAATAAATATATAAATAAATAAAATATTGTCTTTTTGAATAGATTTTATTTTCATGTTTATTCTTAGGCAATTTTGTTACACAAAATAGCCTGAGAATAGCCTGATAAATATATTTTATATAATTTTAGAGATTTCTTTTGTAATTTTCTGTGATATCCATTTATTAATTTGATACTTTTAAATGTCTATTAATTCTTTCAAAACTGTACAAATCTGGGATTTTGTTTTTAAAACTTGATATCCTTTAATAGATAAATAGATAAAGATGTTGGGAAAATATACTCTCCAATATTTTGAAAAATATTTTTAAACAGTATTACACGGCTTTTGGTTGGATGTTATTATTAACTACGGGTGCACGGACTCGTCATCATTTATGCATTTCAGTTGTCTTAATTCTAGCACGAGCTAAAATAAATAACTCTTATTGTCGCGGAAAGTAGAATCGATGAGCCGTGTAAAAAACCGAGTAGACACGAATTTCTAGTTTTGGATGGCAGTCCGTCTCCGTGATGGAGTATGCTTAATTTAAAACTATGGAAAGGGTATCGGGAAATCATTCCAATATTTTCCTATAAAGGTATGGTAGTTCATAAATAGTAACAAAAATTATTTACATATTCAATTTGCTAAATTTTTATTTTTCATGGCAAAGTTTAATCTTTATTTAGTATGATAAATCGATACTTATTCACAAAAGTAAATGATTAAAAACGAAGTAATTCATTTTCAGAAGAAACCGACTGTGTGTGCAGGGGTTCAGGTGATCCACATTACAAGACTTTTGATGGTCAACGGATCCATTTCATGGGCTTATGCAAATATACTCTGGCTACACCAAAGAAAACAAGCAGATTACCTCATTTTACTGTGGAAGTTAAAAATGAACCTCGCAAAAATACTCGGGTATCCTTTACGCGGCTGGTCGACCTCATTATTAATGGTGCTACGATCAGGTTACTGCCAGGCAGTAAACTCAGTGTGAGTAATTATATATACGCCAATAGTACATGACTTGGTTTGCTACATTCATATTCATCAGTATCCCAGATTAAAACAAAGACCGAACTTGTAAGAGAATATATCGTAATGAAGTACAGACAGACGTTCAAGATAATGCTGTCGCTGCACATCAAAATTTTAAAATGTTTTTTTTATAATTGATACCTTTAAGATAATTGTGTAATTACAAAATGGCCGACAGTTTATCCAATTTGTTTGCATAATAGCATAACAGAAATGAAATAATACTAAAAGTCGTTAAGACTTATCATTCGCTAAAATATTTCATCTTGTGTAAATTCACACAGATATATTGCTATCTATTTTGAAACCATATTGCTTAATTATTATCTATTCAGGTAAATGGTGAATTGATGACACTTCCTTTAAAAAGATACATGGGATTTTCTGCCGTTTATTCAGCTGGCTGGGTCAAAGTGACAACCAATTTTGGTGTAAGGGTTCAATTTGACGGCAGACACCGAGTGATTGTTAGAGTACCAAGCATCTACAGAAAACATCTAACTGGAATTTGCGGAGATTGTAATGGGAAGAAAGACGATTATAAAACAAAAACTGGTGTGGATGTCTCTAGTAAAAGGAATAAATTTTCTTTAATTGGTCGAAGTTACGAAGTCGTTGATGATAGTGACAAGCCACAAAAGAAGTAAGTATTCATTATCGTTAGTTATGTACTTTCAAGTAAGTCTTGAATAAAATGCTTATTAATATAATTATTGATATCATTTCGTCTCGAAAGTACCCGAACAGTAGGACTGATAAATATATTTGCTATATTTCAGTCATATTCTCAGTGTATATCTTGATATATTCATTTTCCCCTTTGGTACATGTATATTTGATTGTAATCGCATTTGAAACGGTGTGACCATGCTTTCTTCTTCAAATTAATTCTGAAAGTTAACAATGACTTTTAATATAAATGTAAAATGTTGGCGTCACTTATCATTTCTATTCATTTAATTAATTTATGTTAAGCATCATAATCTGTGTAAGCATAATTAATAACATTGATGAGGAAAAGTATTTTATTTTAAACGTTTATATGGATTTAATTCTGATGACTCAATGGACTGCGATGACTCTCCAATTACATTTTAAAATATAATTTTCTTGGAAACTTATATCCTGCTGATTACCAGAATATATAACACTTGGCATCAAGGATAATAATGATTGCTGTTTTATTTTTTTCAGTTGTAACGTTACTGATTTTGTTACTAATTGTCAAGATAAAGACGTAAACTCTTGCAAAATTTTATTGAATAAAAAAGGACCGTTCGCTACATGTCTACAAAAACTCGGTAACTCTGCAAATGATTATTTCGAGTCTTGCAAAATTGATGCTTGTGCTTACAAGAATTCGCCAAGAATATTCAAAACTGTCATATGTCAAGCGTATGAAGCTCTGGCTAAAAAATGTGAAGAATTAAATGTCCTGATAAACTGGAGGCCAGAAGCTAAATGTCGTAAGTATAATTAAAATATTTTTCTGTGTCTACTACTTAGTACTACTGGCAATCATTCATCATTTGGATGTAATGAAAATAATCAATGAATATCGACTGACGCTTTTCTTTCATATTATTAACTTTTGTATCATCTTCCTATCAGAATTTTAATTTGACAATAACTCATTGAAGAACGGACAAAAAAATAAACATTTTTTTTCAGTTTTACTTTCATAGATTTAAAAGCCTGTCAGAGAAGTTTATTCGTCACACAACTTGTGACATTGTTTTAGTTCTTTTCAACAATTTCCATATTTTTAACAAACATTTCTTGTAAATGATGCAAGAGAATGTTACTGAAAAACACGCGCTCATAAGATTCTATTCTCATATTTGATTTAATTAATTCATGTCAGCTATGCCTTGCAAATCTTTTATCTATTATTCTATTGAATTTAACAGCTTTAATGCGGATATCATTTCTTAATTTTAGCATATCATACTTATTATAAAACCCAGTTTGTGTGTGTGTGTGTGTCTGTACGTTTATATATTGGATCGGATTTCCTACATTTTTCAACCGATTTCAACAAAACTTCACAGGACTATGTAAAATTACCTTGTGGTGGTTCTGAGAGCGCCAAAAATGGGAAAAACACAATTGTTTTTGCACGAAATCAATTAGAAATCACGATTAAGAGACATCACAAGAATGAAAGGTGGACAACTCATATCGAGTTATACTTATTATAAAACCCATGTTGTTTGTGTGTGTGTTCGTTCATATATGGGATCGGATTTCCTACATTTTTCAACCGATTTCAACAAGACTTCACTTTTTTTTGGCAGGTAGTGTTTCTTGTTGTCTTGCACACTTTTTCTTTATTTTTACATTCAGAATGCTTTTAAAATTCCATTTACAAGACAATTGTTTACAATAAAATTGTATTCAATCGGTAGACTCATAACGATTGAAAACAATGTTTTTGTTTTTAGTTTGAGTTTGACCAATTCGTAAAAAAAAAAAAAAAAAAACTAATTAAGACATGCGTGTCTGCCAACCTTAAACAATAATCTTTGTCAATTTTATTTTTCAGTCTTTATGATGGTCGATACTTGATCTATCTCTTACTGCTACATCCCCGGGCAACGCCGGGCTCTACTGCTAGTTTTCAATAAAACTAATCAACCACAGTAAATTTTAACATTAATATTTACGCTACTAATAAAAAATGTTTAAAGTTTGTTCTGAACAAAATGTTACACGTATTTTCCAGCAAAATATAGAAGGAATAAAATTTGAAAGAGATAAATAATATATAAGTATTGCTAAATTAATTCATCCTCCATAAAATGCAATCCCATTAATAAACCTTGAATCAGAAATTTAAATTTGATTTGAACAATCGTTTTTGTACAGTAATTAATATATTGATGACATAAATTAAAACCTCTAATGGAAATTATATTAAAGTAGTATTTCTCTGTAGATAAACTAATAAAAAAATAAAATCTGATGTAATTGCATGTATCTTCTAATAAACCAGCAATGAAATGTCCAAAGAATATGGTCTACGCCTACAACACAAGTGCCTGTCAACCATCTTGTTCCGATCAGAAACCAGTTTGTACAGAAGGATTTATGGAGGGTTGTGTTTGCAAACATGGTTATATTCTCAGCGGTCAAAAATGTGTACCAATTGCTTCATGTGGTTGCACCTTCGATGGAATGTATTTAAATGTAATTATGACTTTTCCGAGCTTCCGTCTTCTTTTTCAAACAGCGAGTAACATAAATCATGTTTATAAATGTTTAAAAAAAACACATTATTATTATCTTTAGAATTAAGGAAACTAAAACAGAAAAAATATTATTCTTAAAGCAGAGATTTTATCGTCTATACATTTTCAAATAAGTAAAAATCAACAAATTTCAAAGATTAATTGATATGGAATCTTGATCTTTTTTCTTTTCTTTAGGTCAAGTCGAAATTTTTGCTAAATGATTGTTCGGAAAAAATCATTTGTCTACCTGGAGGTCAAATCAAGAAACAACCTGGTTGTGGTTCAAACAGCGTCTGTGTAGTCCGAGGTGGTGAACGTGTGTGTGCCTGTAAAGATGGCTTCCAAATGATTAATGGAATCTGTCGAAGTAATTTCCAGTTTCCTTTTATTTAAATTTTGAATTTCTAGGATATATATATATATATATATATATATATATATATATATATATATATATATATATTAGGGTTATGACTTTTTTTAACCTTATTTTCCTGTGCCACAAATCGGTGTACTATGGTTCAAAAGTAATGAAAACGCATTAATTTGTCTTACGTCTTGAAAAAGGTCACCCAAATCCGAAAATTCGATTTTATAGTATATGCAATGACAGGAATAAAACAAAATATTTCAGAAGCTTTATTGTTCAATTTTCTACTGATTTATTTGGATAGTGCCTATGTAATTTTAACATATTTAACATAGCTATAGCAAAACAACAACCTTACAAATAAACAAAAACTGAAAACTTGCAGACGCTTTATTTCTCAATTTACTAATGATGTACTTGGATAGTACTTTCGTATTTTTAACGCATTTAATAATTTATAACTATAGCATAACATACAAACTTGAAAATAAACAAAAACAAGTTCTAGAAGGTTTCATAAATTTCTAGAAGGCTCTAGAAAGTTCTAAAAGGTTTAAAAAAGTTCTAGAAGATTCCAGAAAATCCTAGTACTAATATATTCATATACGATTTTATAAATGTCTTTTTGGAGGCGACATTTTTAAAAAAAAAAACTTTGTACAGAAATTCATCTAATTATGATACAGGAAATAAATTATTTTACAAACAGTCAAAAATTCAGTAAAATGAAATGAGAGAATAGGGAAACTGATTTGTTCCTTCACCAACAACAAAATAAAAAGATATATTTTTTCCAAAAATGTTTACATTTGTAAGCAGTGAAGTAATATTTTATTATTATTCACAATAATATACAACCCGGTTTTTCAACATATATCCATTCTTAAGAAAAATACTTCTTTTCTTTAGCAACTGGGCATATTTTACAACCGTTACAAAAAGCTGAAAAAGCTGAATGAAAATGGTTAATTAACTGCATATACTACTACTACTACTACTACTACTACTACTAATAATAATAATAATAATAATAATAATAATAATAATAAGCACCAGGAATAGCTGCCATGGCTTCTGATCATAATTGATTTGGGGTGTTAACATGTACATATTTTACCTTGGTGAATTAGTGTGAGTTATAATAAATACCCCGTTCAGTTCCACATATTTGCTTGTCAGTTGTTTGACCTTAAACATTTGGATATGTCCCCAAGTGGATGAGGCACTGTTTACTTCTATTCATGAGTGGCAGTAATTAAGGAGCCTCATGGCCAGGTGACAAAAAGTTGTTTTTTTTTTCTTTTTTTTTTTTTTAATTTTGAAAGACATAGAAGGCAGGTTGACTTGGAAGTCACCTCTGAATGCATACGAACATCCAAAATTGCATACCGTCTAAGCGGGTTGGATGACCCGACCTGAAAGTATTTCTGACTTGCTCCCACCTGCAAGGTTATGCGCTGTCACCATATCACGTATATTTGGTTGTGATCTACTCTTATCAGGCTGGATGTTATGATGGCTATATTTTTGTTTCTTTATCAGGACTGCAGCATCATTTTGTTGACATTTCATTCAAATATAATAACTGATTGTTATTATTATTATTATTAGTAGTAGTAGTAGTAGTAGTCCTAGAAGAAGAAGAAGAAGAAGAAGAAGAAGCAGTGGTAGTAGTAATAGCAGTAGTAGTATTGATGAGGTAATTGATAAAATTACAAACCCTTTTGATTTGAAAGTTGAGATATCATGATTTTTTGGAAGGCAGGAAGAGAATATCAAGGTGATTCCAGTAGGGATTGGAGCATTCGGATCAATCCCATTAAAACTGCGTGACTTCATTGATAAGCTGGGGATATGTCGACATGGAGTCATCCAAAAATCGGCTCTTTTGGGGACTTCAATGATTTTGTCTGAGTGCTGTCTATCCGAGATCCTTTTTATGTCTTGACAGATAAATATGTACCTGGTGTATTCAAAAACTTACTCTGTATGGTAAAAACATATAATAATAATAATAATTCACCTCCGATTACCATCATAACAAAAAATGAATCACATAGCCTGCTCTCTATTTATTTTCTTTTCCATAATGCTGAAAGTTTTTTTTAATATTTTCGAATGCGCTCAGATTAATACATAACGTCATTATCTCGATGATACAGGGTTTTGTTAGTAAATCTGAGGAAACAAAAACCTGTTGCAAAAACAAGTTTTCTTATTTTATCATTTTAATTCATTAATATTGCCTTTCAGATATATTCACTTATATTTAAATTTTAATCTATCTATTTCTTTCTTTCTCTCTCTCCCTCCCTCTCTCTCTCTCTTCTCTTTCTCTCTCTCTCTCTCTCTCTCTATATATATATATATATATATATATATATATATATATATAAAAACTCCTGAAAAAAAATTAATTCGGTGGAGAAAGCGCGAATTTGTAATCAGTGACGGTTAATGCTAACAATGCAAGACTCTCCCAACGGATTGAGTCCTCTAGGTCACTGGCGCGTTTATGAAAATATGAATATGCAAAAATTTGCCTTTCTCTCTGCCGACCGCCGATAGCCTAGGGGTTAGAATCTCCGACTGATGCCAATCGGTCGGGTTTAGATGCCGGCTTCTAGCGATCAGATGTCTAGCCACATTAATGAGCTGTGATACAGCGAAACCGGCAGTCTGATGACGGCATATATATATATATATATATATATATATATATATATATATATATATATATATACATCTGTTTATATGTGTAGTTTGATAGATATCTTTTGAATTGATTGATTTGTTTTTGTGGCTCATCAAACTTTTGCGGGAAAAGTCAGAAAATACTTTTATATTTTAAGAACATTTCAAGTTAACATTGTCTGCTGATGCAGTTCATACTAATCAACCCATAGATAAGGGGGAGAAAACGTGGTATTTGTATGTAAGTGAATATAAAAGCGACTGGAATTTGAACACGGATTTCCGATTTTCATTTCCGAGCCGTCATCCATTACAGCACATACACATAGGCTGCTTGGTTTCAGTGAAAGAAAGAAAGAAAGAAAGAAAGAAAGAAAGAAAGCTAGCTAGCTAGAAAGAAAGAAAGAAAGAAGTGTTTGAGGATTGTTTTGGTGAAATGGAAATAGTTGAAATCCTTTCATTTGTACCCACTTTTTAAAATAACGACCATATTTATGATTATTATTGCAATATTTTGTTAAAGTTGGTAAGCTCAAATACTTCATGATATGATAGGGAAATTTATACGGATATTTTATTGACGTAGAATTCACCATCTATCGTTAACCTAATAATTAAATTTAGAACATTCAAATAGGAAAACTGTGAAATGTTGCCGTGATTTTTAGTATAACTTATTATTTTTCACAATATTTGCATTCATCTTTTTATACTTTATTTTACAGAAGTTCTTGTGCCTCTGCGTAAGTAAAAATATATTTTTCAACTTAGCACTAATTGAAAAGAAAGCATTCATTTTTGTTCATATTTTTATTATCTGTATACATATTTGTCGTACGTAACATTTTTATTACTACATTACGGTAGGACGGCGTCCTGAAAGGTCTAAGTCCGACCAACTTCCAAAAATTTGAATGACAAAACATATCTTGGTCAAGTCAAGTAAATTTTAGCAAACCCTCAAATCAAATCTCTCTCTCTCTCTCTCTCTCTCTCTCTATATATATATATATATATATATATATATATATATATATATATATATATATATGAGCCCTTACTGTAAAGCTTGAGTTACGAGAGCGACAATGAGCCTCATTATTTTCCCCGCAACAGGTGTTCCGTATCAAATTGAGATGCAAATTTGTAAACACCGTCATATCTCGTTTCAACGGAAAAAAGCGGAGAAACATCGATGCGATAATGCCAGTTGTCTGTAGTTACTGACACTAAATATGTAGTGGCTAAAGTCAACAATTACATTACGAAAGAAAGAGGAACGACATAGCTTTGTACATTTAATCAAGCACACTTACCAATCTGACGCTGGTAAATACCTGTACAGTGTAAATGTACACTATTTTGTCCTAGCGTTAAATTCAAACTTTTCCACTTTTGTGCACTTTCTCCAGATGTTGTTCTTATAAAAAATGATGAATATTAAATCTCTTAAACACACTGGCATATACAAAACGGGGAACGCTCGTGGAGCAATAAGTTACACGTTTGTTTGCACCGATGTGAACAAAGTGACAGCCTGCCAACTAGCGGTCAAATCGTGAAACAGCGGCTTTTATCCAGAGTTGCCACAACACAGTCCGCAGCGTACGAGATTTACAGACTGTGTCAGCATCTTCAGATTGTGTCCGTTGCTTCCGATATCCATTAAAGGGAGGTCCGTAATATCGAGATATGAGTATACAGAATGTCGACTTTCGAACGAACTTTAGCAAAATATACCCTTACAGGAACACTTAAATAATTACATTCAATTGTGAATAAGTCCTGAAAGTTTAATTCTGATTTTTCCAGGAATTTCCAAAAATTTTCACCGCAAAATGACACTCAAATTTCCCATATATTCCCATTTATAGTACGTAATTGACGCCAGTAAAAAAACAAGATTTTTTATTAAAATTTCGAATGTTCTCAAAAAAGGATTAAACATTTTCTTACATCAAAAAATTCTTTGATTTTCTGCTTAATAATAACACAAAGATTTTGACGATAAAATATTGTTTTTTTTATTAATATTTGGCATTTTATTATCATATATGGTCATTCGTGGGCAAATCTTTGGTAGCACACACACACACACACACACACACACACACACACACACGCACATCTATCTATCTATCTATCTATCTATCTATCTATCTATATATATATATATATATATATATATATATATATATATATATATATATGTATAATATAACATACTTTATATAAGCCTTTATTTTATTTTCATTTCAGCTCCAATTATTCCTCCAAACTATCTCGGTCCAGGTATGTTGAAGATTTTATCTATTCGTATAAATGGATTCTAATGAAAAAATTAAAATTATGACTCTCCCATTTGTTCTGGTCACGCTGGTTGCAGAGTCAATTGAACAGTCATGTCTCGGTGCTACTCGTTTGAGTGGTAATGTTGAATTAATGAATTTATACAAGTCTTTGAAACAATCACATTTACCGAATCATCAGTACGAAAGCGCTTTATGCTTCATTGAAATCAAATGTAGTTTTCGACTGTGTAAACTATTATCAAAAAATGCTCATGCTCAACTGAAGTAACGCATCCACCTTCAAGCGGAGTGAATATTCTCTTCTGTTATAATCCTCATGAAAGCTTCTTGGAACAAAGATTATTATATTTAGTTTATACAATTCTTAAGTAATCTATCAGTAAATAGACGAATGCAAGTTCACGTGTCCAACAAGAGGAAATCATAAACTATACGATTTGTTGAAATATCTTCATATGATATAAATGAAAAGCCTTTGAAAATCTTGCTGTTAATCATCTGTACGATAATTATCACCATTTTAATTTTATTTTCATCATAATCAACATTAGTAAATTTAGATATGATTATGACTGATTATTGCTTTTTCCATCTTTTTTTTTATAGTGATGCACATGTTCATTCGCGTCTCCGTGGCATTTATTGAAGGAAAACCAATCAAGAAAAAAAGGGCCAAAGTTCCTAAAGAATGTGCCAAGCTTTGTCTTCACATTAAAACATGCACATCATTTAACTTTGATGAGTTGAGAGAAATGTGCGAGTTGTTCTCTATTAATGCAGAGAATTATACTTTAGTTTCTGGCGATTGTCCTTACAAAGATTACTATCAGCTTATTGGTAAGTAATGATTCTCTTTTAACCACAAATGATTTCTCATTAACCTTAAGACGTTAAGACTACGTTATGTACGAAAATATGCGAAAGATCTTATTATTATAAAACCCTAAATCTTCTTATAGAAACAACTAGAAAAATAATCCTCTACTTCTTGTTGCATTACAAAGATGGTAACGTATTTTAAATGATATGTAATCCATTAAGCATACAAGCTAGACATATTCAATTCAAATATGTCAAAAATTGCATGGTATTCATTGATGTACCTTTGATGACGCAATATGATGTTGTATAAATGAAAAATTATCTGATTAAAGAACCATATATGTTGATAGATGGAAACGAATTCCGGCTAAAGTAATGCATGTCAACAATTGGGGTTCGATATATTTTCGAAAATAGATCATAGCTACCCGAAGAATACAAAATTGTGTATGGCAAATTGAAAGACAAAAGTCATTGAACCTATCAATTTAAGTAGGACAAAACTCTAACAGCTTCACTGAATAAATATTTACTATTTACCCTCTCTCTGCTACTATACTGGATAGTAAAAATAAGTATATATCATTTGTATATAGATTAAAATCATACTTTGTCAAATTCAAATGATTGGTTAAAAACAGAATATTTGGTGCCGCTCCCGAACACCACGTTTGTAGCTAATGTAAGGAGGTGGGGAGCAAAAACACAAGGAGGGATGCCATTTATTTTTGCATTATAACATTTAAAAGAAGAAAAAAATTATAAAAAAGAAATTTGACGATAAATAATCATAAAAACAAGATATTTTAATCCTTTAAATAAAAACATTCTGAATGTCTTTTAACATATCGAGAAAAAAGTCGGGACATTGCCTTAATAATGTAAGATACAAATATAGTGGTAAGATACACACTAAAGAAGAAACTGATCAGTATTTACAATGCTTTAATAATGTAGTGTAAAAATGTATTGGTAGAATACATACTAAAGCAGAAACTGATCAGTAGGACACATGCTAAAACGGTACCGAATATTTTGTTTTATAGCGACCACTTAATTAGTAATGAAGAACGTTACAAAAGATTTGATAGGAATTAAAATATTGCTTTCTTTATAAATAGATCACATTAAAAAAACAAAACAAATGCTAACAAAAGTTATGATGGTGATACATCATTTATAAATTTTACAAACGATTATTTTCGAACGACAGTTGTAAAATCAATCGCTAAAAAGTATTTATCTCACATTGAGACTTGGTCGAATAGATTCAATTCACCTCAAGCAAGGCGATAAATCCACTAAGAGGCAAGAGGATACTGAGTGTGGGAGAATATGAGTAAAAGAAATTATTATCAATGCGAGAGAACAATAAAAGAATATGTTGAAGCTTGGATAAGCATGGAATAATAATAATACAACACAAAATGTACGTTAACAAAATGTATTGAAACAAGGAAAAGGTACACAATATTTACAGTTAGTTTTGGTATATTCTTGGGAAGACTTCCTGTAGAATGGGTTGACTTAATCGCAGTCGGGCAGAGTCTCTGGATTGGATCTCTTGTTACTTCCCTCGTCTTCCCGGTACCAACCCATATTTATGTAAATTAGGTGGATCGTACCACAACAGAATATGAACTAAAAAAACAGAAAATAACGATTGACCTTGCATTTAAATTTTGCAGTTCAAAGTTGATTAGAAAATAAGAATTCGGAAGAGTGTTCCACAAGTGAAACAAGCGATTATAGGTTTTTGCAACTTATAAATCAGAGTTTCCCAAACCATACTTGACAAACCGATTGTAACAAAATTTAATTTCCATTCACTTCCAAACAAATTAATCGAATATAAAATTTCAAAATGCAGCTAATTTATTCGTGTTTAATACAATTTGAACAAGAAAAAAAAAACAACAAAATATAAATGTAAAAGCTTTTTAATTGCTTGAATTATTTTTATGAGAAGGCCGGGTTTGATGGAATATTTATGATTTTGAACCGCAAATCACCACGTTCTGCATTCAAAGTACTTCTCTATTTACTTATTTAAAATCATTTCACCCTCAGCAAATCAATAAAGTCACTAAGATGCAAGGTGGTTACTGAGTGTGAAAGAATATGAGAAAAAGGAAAATATTAAACAGCGAGAACAATAAAAGAACAGGAATTAAGACAGAAGATAACGACTGACATTGCATTTAAATTTTTGAAAATCAAATTTGACTGGAAAATTAGGAACCGGAAAAGAGTTCCACAAGCAAAAAATGCGAAAGAAGAAATTGTTAGCATGGAACATACGATTACAACTATCCATTTCATAAGTAAAGTGATGAGACCTTGCCGTCAATCTAGTACTGCGTTTAAATTCATTGCGTCTTGGTAGTATAAGGGAAAGTTCATCTGAAGAATTAGTAAAAAATGAACATGTTTAAAGCCAGATTCCGTCAAATACGAACTAGAAAAGGTAAAAGAATGCCTCAATAGTTGCACAAAACTTGTTATTTGCACTCATTCAGTAATTCACAATTCCTTTAAATGTGAACATTTAAGATAGAAAATCCTTTCAATAAAATCTTCTTTAAGAAAGATATTTAAATTTTACCTCCACTTCAACATTGAATGAAGAAATAATCCATTTAGTAATTTCTGTTTGGAATATCCTTGAATCAAAAACTAAAGTCTTCTTGTAAATGCTCAGGGAACTTTTTATTGACAAGAAAGCCATTTTCAAAACCACTTTCTTTGATTGCTCTATAGAGGACAAAATCGCGACATACTGAACGTCTAGTCAGCCCAATGCAGACTTTTTAAAACCAAGTTTAGCCTAGAATCCTAGAAACAAACAAAAAAACAATTCATTGTGATCCTTTCATTGTAATCACTTATATTTTCATTAAATTTTCCATAATAAACCTGCCAAATAAAAGAGGTGATTTTTAATTAACATTTGTAACTTGCATGTGTAGGATCTACGTCCCCTAAAGCTTCACTGTTGTATTAAACATCTCAAGCAACACCCTTTCGATAACCACAGGAATCCAGCATGAAGAAAACCATTGATAGTATCATCGTTTTCTTTATATAATCGTTTAAGGAGTCGTAGATTAAGTGGCTTTGTTTTAACTGTATTTACTAGAAGCGTCCGTAAGAATTCCATGGTTTTCGTATTTGACTATATTGATGAATCATATTTCGTAATGATTGAATAAGTTCTAATAAATACCAGTGGAAAGTTTCCTATCGCATTGTTAAGTATTTGAACCTAACAACTTTAACTAAATAACATACGTAAGTACAAACGCAGGTTATTATTTTTTTTAAAAAGTAAGAAGCCACAACTGAAAAGATTCCAAGCTGACATTTTCCAATTCAATGAAGTAGACGTTACACAGACAAGAACGTTAACATCATCTCTAGCTTCTGTTTGTTTATTTCTTCTTATTATTATTGCGAATTTCTAAGCGTAGCCGAAAGTATATGTGGAGGCCCAGTGAGGCTTGAACTCTCTATTCGGTTGTAAGCTGCCTAGCGAGACAAGCTTGCTAACCATTACGCCACTTAGAAGAGCCACTTCATGTGATTATTTTGTATGACTTCTTTTTCTCACTATAACCAAACAGCGACTCTGATGTATATTTTTCCTTCTGACAGGACGTAACTAATGGCGGAACAAGCAAAATTACATTATGACTGTTTTGGTGCACGTTTTCAAACTTTTATGACATTTTTCATTGGGTATTTTACTAATAAGATTTAGGCTATGCAAAACTCATTGGCAACATCTTGTTTCAGTAAATCCTCAGGATAGATTTATCATGGGCGGTGCACAATCAAATACTAGAGGAATAATACTGGTAATGGTAATGTCATTTTTATCGAAATGGTTGTTGACACATTAAAAGATTCTCTCAACTTTCGTGTTAAGTTTTTTAATCGAATAACAAAAAAGAAATGGAGCAATAAAACAGTTTTTGCTAGGAATATCGTATCGCACATATAGTCATAAAAATGTTGTTGTTTTTAAATGCTGACTCTGTCAGTTGAACAGGATATTATTTTCAATTCTGCTGCCATTTGATCAATAAAGAGCTGCACGTTGCATTGGAATGCATTTCAATATCAGAACTGAATTTTTCAAAGCATTTTCTATTATTTCTTTTAATTGATAAAATAACCTTGCCTCAACTGAAGTGTTCCTTTTCTTTTTCTTTTTTGACAAAAAATAAAGAGACGTTATATAAGATAATATTATAGCATCTTGATAAGATAATAATATAATGTTATAATAAATATTAAGATAATAATATAGTATCTTTATTTGATGTATGAGATTGGATTTATTATATATATTTATGATTTATGAGCGAGAGCGCTTATTAAAATTTTCTCTTAATGTTTTAAATTATTGGAGGCTCTTTTATTTTATTTTTTTTTTTTGGGGGGGTACCAACTATTTAAATGGTCTTTTGTTTTAGATGTCTTCATTGAATCATCGCAAAATAAATGTTTACAGAGACATTGATTCATTATGAGATCCATTTCTCCACCGCCGTAACGTAGCTTCTTTTTACTCTTCTATAAATATTTTCGCTGGAGTTCTCCTGACAAGCTTTCCTCATGGAACTTCGATTACTCGAATTTAAGCGAAATACTAGATTTGCAGGTATTTCTCATAATTTCACTATTGAAATTATTACTTGTAACCGTAAGTTCTATGAAAATAGCTTCTTCTTTCGCACTTCTCGTTTGCGAAACTCTGTTCCGGGTTATAGTTTTCATTCAACTACAATCATCAGAAATATAAATGCAATGCCATTCGTCCTCTTCTGTCTCTTTGGATCTTTTGTTGTCCTCTCTGTTTCGTCGACTCTCAGTAACCTCTTGTATCTTAGAGCTTTTAGTCGCCTTGTTTGGAGTGAAAGCATTAAGAAAAAAGAAAGAAACCTATCAATGTAAACTTACAATATTTTCTTGAATATTGTCAACATTTCTGTTCAATAATCTCACTGGATGTCATGATGGGAGAGGTTGATTTTGTAATGATTTTAGGTTAGAATGTTATTTATTTTTTACAAAATACAGAAAGATTATAAAAATGCAAATTCGAGTCACATACCACCAACGCCAACAAATAAAAATTAATAGCAAATAAAAATTCATAACAACTAAAAATTTACAGCATAATAATTCTATAGAATTTTACAAGATAGAGAAAGATTATTATGAATACAATATCGAATCACATAACACCCACGCCAACAACCTAGAATGTGGACCGAGAAAAGAATTAAAGTGCGGTTATATGCATCCTTAACAACGCCAAAAAAAAAAAAAAAGAATCTGAATCTTTTCGGTTGCAACGGGATCGATCCTTTATTTAAATGAGAAGTTCATTTTGAACGACCCGGCACATCATTAGTGGTCATTATGCCTACTCAGACATTAAGTGTATAGTGATCAGCGATTTTTGCTTTCCCGTTACAAAATGGTAAATAAATGCAATCTAGGGAAAATTAATATCCCTGTAAACTCCTAAATTTGTATTTATCCATGACAAAATTCTATTCTCTATTTTCGTACGAATCCCTGTTCTAAACAATCAAATGTTTGTTTGATTGAATGTTTGCTAGAAATTTAGGCTTTATATCTTAAGCCTTTTTAGATTTTATAATTCAGAGAATTTACGAATACAAATATTCTTTTGATTTTTAACTGTCTTAAAAATTTCGAAATATTTTACGATATTTTAAAAATATTTTTGAAGAATCCAAGAATATTGTCATCCGTGGTGCCTCGATCTTTACGTGCGTTCATCTGGAGGAATATGCAAATGTGAAAACATTAGCAGAATGCCGAGAAAAGTGTGAGAAACATAAGTGCAAAGCCATGGAATATGTTGTTTCTGATAAGGAATGCAGCGTCACACACACAACACGAAAATCATTTGGCCTCACTGGTGATGAGGAATTCGTTTATTACGGTAAGTTGGTTTTATATCTGCCAATTAAAAACGTTGCAAATATTCGCTGAGAATTTAATTTTATAATTAGTAAAATAAGAATGTAAGTCCCACTCATCTGAGTAATTCTATAATTATAAGATTAAATATATGACAAAAATGCTACGTTTATTAAGACATTTTTATTTTGATTGGATACTTTAAAAAAATTAAAAAGAGGATATATTTTACAATTCAGTCGACATAATCTGGATTTTTGTAACCTCTTAACAACTCAAAATAGTTTAGATTATTTCGATTGAGTGAAAATGAAATGTAAACTTTTTTACAATATCTACTTTATTAGCTTATTTACTGCTTCTATAGTTAATGTTTACGAAAAGAACATTCTCCTAACATGAAAGCTAACATGAATATTAATCATTGGCTTATGTCCTTGAATTTACTTTTGATTTTGTTCTAAAGAACATATACTGTATAAAAAAATTATAATTAATATTTTTGTAATGTAAATTATGATGGAATAATTATTGAAACTTTTTTCTCAATTTTTTGCAGAGACTCTTGATCGTATCCCCGAACTTCCAAAAATTCTACCTTGAACAAATGTGCAAAGATGACTGAGCTCATCCCAAACAAAATTCGAACAGATTCATTCTTTATTCTGTAAAATTCTTTCAATAAATTTCTGAATATTGCATATTTATTTTATGACTTTTATATTCTATATTTTTGTATTTTTTTTCTTGTTTAAAGTTACCAGCAAAATAAAGACATCAGAATATTATTATTTAACTCCTATTATTTGAAACCCGAGTCTAACGGCTTTTACCAGTACAAAGGGTTTCTTTCTTAATTGAAATCTTCAGTTAAACTATTATTTCTCTAATATGTAATTTCCTTCACGTTAGCGTCTTTAGGATGTTGGCAAATATCTCACTGACCAGAAAAAAGAACAAGAGTAAAATGTTTTACTAGAAAAGCATATTATTTAAGTACTTGTAGTGAGAGCGAAATAATAATAACTCCTTTACCCATTTTCTTCAAATTCAGAGGAAAAGACGGAAAAGAATGTGGGAGCCTTTCTGAAATTTTCTTTGGACCAATGAAAATGTTGTCTTCACAGAAATTAGCAGTTGAGCCAAGAAGTAAGAAAAAAAATTAGCGAGCCTATGTGAGATTTTAAAAAATATAAAATGAAGGAAAAAATGAAATTAATAAGAGCAAAGTGCCTGAAGTCATGTGTTAGGTTTCGTTTCTCTTTACCACGTCCAAAGTTTTCGGCAATGTAAAATTACTCGTCTTCACTAAGCACCAGGGCACTTTAAAGAATTTTCAAACAATCTCTCTTCGTCTACTTTTGAACGTATGCAGCCGTATATCGAACCCTCTTACTTTTGTTTTAAACATTTTCGAATATTATTTTGTGTCAGATCATTTAATCTGTTGTATGAACATATACTCTTCATGAAAATTCTTTGAAACTAAAGACTTTAAATATTTCTAATTTATTTTCCTTGTTTTCGCCAATATAAAATTACTCGCCTATTATTTTATCGGTCTTCACTAAGCACGGAGCATTTCAAAGAATTTTCTTTCAATATTCCAAGAAAGCTAAGTATTTCAAACAATCTCTCTTCGTCTACTTTTCAACGTATGCCGCTGTATATCGAACCTTCTTACTTTTCTTTTAAACATTTATGTCAGATCAATTAATCTGTTATATGAACATTTCCTTTTCATGACAATTCGTTAAAACTAAAGACTTTAAAGATGTCTCTATTTATTTTCCTTAAACAAACTACTGACACTACGTCAAGCGTGTAAATTCGTAAATAAATTAATTATCTTGTTTTGTTAAAGTTGTCCGTGTGTTTCCTCTTCATTATCCTCCTTCATTAATCTTTTTGGTGTGAATAAATCAACTCTTCATAAATAAACCCCTAAACTCAACGCTACTATATACTTTATATTCTGGTCACTCTGATATATTCATATTGTGGTATCCTTAAAGACTTCATATCTTTTCGTATAACTCATAAAAGTATTATTATTGTAAAAAATATTGATTTTATTAATGATTTCAAATAATAATTCCATTTCCTAATCGAATTAACTATTAACATTTCCAAGTTATATAGACAGTTTATTTACCAGAGACTATTTTTTTCTTAATAAGATATTAAATGGTAAATGCGATTTTCTCATTTAGCCGAGTTTATTCTTTTCATTTTTAATTTACAATTGAAAGTTAGGGGCCTAGAGTCTTCTACACCAGGAAACATAATAATTAGAAACCGAATTCTAGACTTCTTGAAAGGGCCTCGACCAACTAAGAGTGTGCTTATTTTCGATTCAACAAATCGTCAAAAACTAAAAAAAAAAAAACAGAAATACAAGTCTCTTCAAAAGTAAATTCTGTATATACTCGGGTATCATGCGACGTTTGAACATCTAATCTTGAAGCTAATTTTAAGAGGGTCACATCATAAACGAAATATGAAATTAGCGTATGTAATCCTGGCCCTAGATACATAAAATACTAAAAGGCTAAAATGAAAAGTAAATGCAATTAACTTTGAAATAAATTAAGACCATTAGAGAAATATAAGCAAAAAAGAAAGAAAGAAATCAAGAGAAACATAGAAACAATCAATGAAAACGAACCAACAACGAAAGAAAGACAGAAAGAAAGAACTTAGAATTAAAAAAATCAAGAGACAGATGGAAGGAATGAAGAAAATATAAGAATAATAACCGAAAAAATAAATCACTCAAGACGCATAAATAGATAATAAAGAATCAAAAACGAATATTCATAATATAACGAGCAAGATATATATATATATATATCATTAAAAACAGAATTAATAAAAGTAACAAAAAAAAGGAAACATTTTAAATGGCTTCAGGAATACATATGGCAGAGATGCTTCAAACAGTGGAAAATTAAAAATTATGTAACTATTTGTAAGTTTCCAATACAAGGGAGATAACTCCTTTAATAGTTTTTTTCGAGTTATCTCCCGTAGATCAATATTTATACGTTTATGCAGGTACCTCGAAAAGGTGATAATACATGATGAAAAATATGCAACAAAATAAGACGTTATTCAAAGAGAAAATATTCTCCATAAATAATGAATTTTTTCAAGAATTCATTTCATCCTTCTTTAAATTTTAATTAGGATTATTTATCAAATTTAAATCTTTTACAATTCTGTATTAATTTTTATCAGTCAAGTGCTAGTGATAAGCTATATTTACTAATCTTAAAAGTAAAATCCTACTCCAATTCAGGGACGCCTGGTATTTTACAAAGAATTTTGAATTTTTTGTGTCTGTATAAACGATTTTTGCAAATACGGATGCCCATATATGGTTTTATCAGAAAATAATAACACTAGTTATAGTAAATTTAAATTTCATTGGTAATTTTTTTAACATTTCTACGGCAAGAGTCTTTGCAATTTTACTATATGTATTTTCTCCTTACCTAAATCTCGCAATCATCAGGTTATCAATAGATGTGTTAGCACTACCCAAAATCAACTACTTCGCTGTTAAACAGGCTTTACTATTATATTTTATACTGAAAATAATTAAATATAACACAATTAATTAAATCAGTTAATCCTCTTTAAATAAATTTTGAGAAAAGTATATTTTATTTTCAACAGATTTTTTTTTTAACAAAGTGCATTATGTTGAAATACGACAAAGTATTTTGCTTATTCGAAATAATAAAAGAAAGATTTTTCATTTTTAAAAAGTATTTTAAAATTTAGTTGTCGCTTTTTTTTGTAGGTAGCTAGTTTTACGCTATAAGACAGAAAGAAATAAATTCCGATGAAGAAATGGAAGAAGAAGAAGAAGAAGAAGAAGAAGAAGAAGAAGAAGAAGAAGAAGAAGAAGAAGAGCAGTAAAAACTAACAAAATATTGGGAAGTTAAAATCACTTGAGATACATGGAAGTGGGGACATAAATTACTCAAATAGAAAAAGAAAACTGTCAATAACAGAAGTAATGAAAGTATAATAAGTAAAAACAAAAGCTTTAAATGGCGAAATGAAAATATATAAAAAAACAAATGGAAGAAATGAAAAAGAGCGAAAAAATACACGCAATTTATGATTTTCTAAGACAAGGGAAATAACTCCTGAGACAGTATCTTAGAGTTAGTTCCCTTGGACCAATTTTCAATATATACTTGAGAGATAAATTGATAAGAATTAGATATTCATGATTGCAAATTTAATGTTTTAAAATAACGGGAGAGAAAAGATAAAATAAAAACTTCGAGTTATTTTATAAATTAGTAAATATAGATAAAAATTAAAGGCACGATGCATTCTTAGGGAAAATTACAGTATAATTAATTTGGGAAAAATTTATTAATCACTTTACTTTAAAGAAAGAAAGAAAAAAGAAAGAAAGAAAATTTGACTGAATGACTGAAATTAACGAAAGGAAATAGGTTTTAATGCATGAAAAAATGAAGATGTAAAATAAATTTTGTTTAATAAATTAAAATAAATTGTCAGATGACTATTATAAATTGAAAGAAGTAAAGTAAGAAATAACATCTGACAACAAATCCAAAGGAAAAACACAAAATCTAGAGAAATGTAGAGAAAATAAAAACCTAATTGAATATTAAAAAAAATAGGAAATGGTGATTAAATAAAAAAACAGATGAATGAATAGAAAGGAAAGATGGAAGAATAAATATATTTTAATTGATGTAGAAATTGGTAAATTCATAAATACTAAAAATATAAAGGCAAGAAGTCAAACTTATTCAAGGAATTAAATAAGCAAAGATAGTAATAAGTATTAAAGAAAACTAAGAAGATACCCTTTCAAAAAAAAAAAAAAAAAAAATAGAATGCTTAACAGGGGAGATAAATTCTAACTTTATGAAAAATTTATACAAAATAAGAAAATACTTAGGGGATCATACTTATTATGAAACCCAGGTTGTGTGTGTGTGTGTGTGTGTGTGTGTGTGTGTGTGTCTGTACGTTTATATATTGGATCGGATTTCCTACATTTTTCAATCGATTTCAACAAAACTTCACAGGACTACGTAAAATTACGTTGTGGTGGTTTTGACAGCGCCAAAAATTGGGAAAACACAATTGTTTTTGCATGAAATCAATTTGAAAGTACGATTAAGAGACATCGCGAAAATGAAAGGGGGACAACTCATATCGAGTTATACTTATAAAACCAGGTTGTGTGTGTGTGTGTGTGTGTGTGTGTGTGTGTGTGTGTGTGTGTGTGTGTGTGTGTGTTTTATATATGGGATCGGATTTCCTACATTTTTCAACCGATTTCAACGAAACTTCACTTTCTTTGGGGGGGAGGGGCAGGTAGTGTTTCTTATTGTCTTGCACACTTTTCTTTATTTTTACATTTAGAATGCTTTACAAATTCCATTTACAAAATAACTGTTTATAATAAAATTCTATTCAATCGGTAAAATTGAAAATAATGTTTTTGTTTGAGTTTGACCAATTCGTAAAAAAAAAAAAACTAATTAAGACATGCGTGTCCATCAACCTTAAACAATAATCTTTGTCAATTTTATTTTTCAGTCTTTATGTTGGTCGAGATTTGATCTATCTCTTACTGTTACATCCCTGCGCAAGTATGATATATATCTCTATCAGACTAATAGCATAAAAAATGATAAAATGGAAAAATACTATTTTATTATTTCAGTAATTCCTATCTATGTGAAGCATAGTCAGTAATATAAACAACAGATATTTTGATATCTTTGAAGAGATTTTTTTCGAGGCCTGATAATATGTTAAACATTATCTTAATCAAGAAATATGCACATTTCAAAGTTATTTCCTTCAAGATCAACTTTTAATTTAAGAATCATTCTACTGTTAAAATAGTTAGATGTCAAAGTATGTTCTATTCTAATAGATTCTTTTCTCGTACTTCTCCCCTGTGGAACTCTCTTCCAGTTTCTTGCCTATAATCTTCAAAAATTTAAATGCAATATCAGTCAACATCTTCTGTCATCCTGAATCCTGTTATTTTATTGTCCTTTCACCTCACTAGTAACTTCTCATTTTCTTTCATTCACAGTAATCCCAGTAATACCGTGAGTATTAGTAGCTTTATTAGCTGGCATGAGTGAAATGATTAAAAAAATTAAAAAAAACATGCAATTTTGTTTTTACAATGCAAATTCTTTGAATTTCATCTTAAACTGATAAAGTATGTCTTACCTGCATTTTGTCTTAACTTAGCAAAGACTTTGAGGATTGTTATGATGTTGATTTGGGGTTAGTAGAGACAAACGTCAAATAACACGTAACAAATAAAAGGGTTTTAATAGGTTGGTAATTAGGTACAGAAATTGCCTGAGTAGTCTATAACTAGCACAGCTAAGAACTGCTCCGTCCCTCTGTCTTTTGACATGCCGCCATTTAACGTCTTTGTTCGCAGACAAGTTCATCTTCAAGAGGGGTGGTAGGTTTCCAACACAACAAGGATATAGTAAATGCCTTGGTTGGTTGTTAGTGGAATGTCTCTGTTAGTTTCTGGTAGAATGACATATCAACAGGAGTCATATTGGTGATGACTAAATAGTGAAGATGCTGAGGTGTTAGAAATCACAGTGGTGACATTGGGAGCCTGGCAGTCTTGAAGCTAGCCTGTCAGCCTCATTCTATATATGATGAGTCAGTGAAGTTGTAAATATGTGATACTTGGAGCTCCTGGACAGAAAACAACTTTTTTTTATTTTGAGTCTTGCTTTCTTATTATTCACATCCAGCTGACAATTAAAGTGAATCAAAAAAGAAAGAATTGCAGCAGAGTATAACAAAAGTAAAAAAATAAATAAATAGATATATATATTTTAAATAAATAAACTGAATAATTATTTACATTAGTCAGACTACTGTCATAATCTTTATTGCCATATTCATGACATTTCAGCTGTTGTACACTCCAGCTTTCTTCAGGTAATTGGAATTTCAAACTGAATGCTTTATTTCATCCACCAGAGCAGATTGTTTTAGTTCCACGTGCCATGCCTCTTCCGGATGCCTCAGTTATCTCCCATTAACTCAACTCTCCAAGTTTTGTCTACCACTGAAGTAGCCAGATATTTGGGTCAAGTCACTGCATCCAACCAACAGTTTTATCCAGTGGGCCATGAATATGACAATAAAGATGAGAACAAGAGTTCAAACAATGTAAATAATTACAATACCTCATCTCAGAAATATAGACAGAAAGAAAGGGAGGACGGAAAGAAGTAAGCAATTAAGGGAGACAATAAGGAATCAAGATGAAAACATGTCTCGAATGACTAAAGGAGTATGGGCAAACGATATAGATAAAAACATATGCACCGACAATTTTAAAAATGAAAGTAAGTATTCAAAATATTGGGAAGAAAAGAGAAATGTTAAGAAATCAAATTCATAAAGTCACAAAGAAAAGGGGAAAACTAAAAGGAGATAAGAAAAACATGAGAAGAAAGAGTGATCCAATATACAGGTACCAAGGGAAATAACTCTTTCCATCTTTTTCTCGAGTTACTTCCCTTATTCCATTGTTTATCATTTAGTTGTAAGCCTTACATATCATTATGGAAAATAATTATAAGAACATGTAAAATGTGAAAAACATAACAAAAATTAACACAATTAAACCAGAGAAACTGCTGAGGAAAGAAAATATTAATAAAACCTAAAGGAAAGGGAAGCAGTTAATTTTAGAGAAAACATAACTGATATATCACTAGCAGTCCCAGGAAGGAGATATTTAATATCTTGCACAAACTCGCACGCGCGCGCACACACACACACAGACACACACACACATTCGCACATATATTTATGTGTGTGTGTGTGTGTGTTCAGTGATGTCTGGTTATTTTGTAAAAATATATTTCTGATAGATAGCATATAATGTTTCCTTTTTCGTTAGCATATAAGGTTTTCCTTTTGTCTTCTAACTATTATTTATATATATATATATATATATATATATATATATGTGTGTGTGTGTGTGTGTGTGTGTGTGTGATTATTCAAATATATTTTGTTGGAAACGGCAAGGAAATTATGAAATTTATTATCATGAAAACCTCAGGTCCAAGATATTAGAGTTTTACAATTTTGTACACTTTCTCAAATGAATTTCCATATTGTCAATAATATTTTAATGTGGGTTATTTTTTTATAACTTCAATCATTTTTAATTCTTTTTTAAAATTAGCACCCTATAGTTTTTTAATATAATCTACTGAAATTTGTCTTGTGTGTTCTGTCCATCTATTTGAGCATGAATTATGTAAAGGGAAATTTCACCTACAAGGGAGTGTATTTGTTGTATGACCAACATTCCTTGTTTTATTCATTATCTATAATAGCCCAAAATTTACATCTTTTTCTCAGTATCCTCGCCGACTCCAGGAATACTGTGGGTTTCCAATTCACACACCTACGTACACCTACAATCAGGGGCACGATTCACACTCCTAAGTACATCTACAATCAGGGGCACGATTTCAACTTTCATATTCTATATCCTTCTCAGTTCTCTGACAAGTTCCTGATATTTCGCCAATTTATCACTCTTATTTATGTTCATTCTATGATTGGCCATTACAGCTACCTTACTAATCGATCAGTCTTGTTTTGTTTTTGTGGTGTCTTGTTTTTGTGGTGTCTTGTTTTTGTTTTTTTTTCAAAAATTCACGACTATTATATTCGATCGTCTTGCTTGGATGGGGTTACCAGTTGGGCTATCATTAAGTTATTTTTCCAGAACAGCCTCTGGTCAAACCCAAAATCGTTTGCACATTATACGGCTGTTGCCAAGCTGTTATGCCTTCGTCTCTGTTCTATGGGGCCAGCTTGTTACATTTACTGTTTATATTGCTGCACCCTTTCGCTCCAAATGTGGCATCTGTTGTTTTTGCTGTGTTTATTCATTCATCGAATTTACGTATTTTTTCCTGATGCATTTGTTCTGGGATACAATGTAAAAAAGCTGCTATGACGAGGAAATAGCTTGAATATCTGTAATACATATATTCTTCTTCTATGCGACGTGTCCCCTCAGGACGTCGGCGATCATGGCTCCCCAGAATATTCTATCTTTTGCAGGCCTTGCTTTATTTTGTCATTTCACTCTCATTTACGTTAGGTAGGGTAAGCACTGCTTTCCTCTATCCTTGCTTTCAGTATGTCGTGTGAGTATCACATTTTCTAAGCTTCCTTTCCTCATTATGTGCCCTAGAAATTTTAACTAACTCTTTATGATGTTAAGTAAAACTGTCATTTTTTTCATTTTCTCTAAAGCTTTGTCATTGCTCACATGTTCATTCTACGGTATTTTCAGCATCTTGCTCAAGAAACACATTTCTCTTGCTCTCAATTCTTTTCTTCATCTGGGAGATGATTGCATAGCGTTCACTGCCATATAGGAAAACCGATATTACATAACATTTCAGTACTCACTTCTTTGTTTCTGGCGAGATGTTCCTGTTTCTTAATACATTGCTTAGCTTTTTTTCATTTTTTTAATCATTTCATCCCAAACAAATCGGGAGGGCCACTAGTACGCAAAATGCTACAGAGAGTGAAAAAAAAGGAAAAGCCTGGGTGTAGGTGGGAGTGAGGAAATGATAAAAAGAAGAAGGGAGAAGAATAAAAAGAACGGGTATCAGGGCATCAGAAGATGAAAGTAAGAGGAAGGGTGTTTCATTGCCGGGAAGTGTGAGAGAAGCTGCTTTTGGATCTGTTGCATTTAACTATTTCGACAGTAAAAGGGTAGGATTGAGATGTCAACCTAGTAGCACGCTTAAATTCGTGCAGTCGGGGCACTAGTAAAAATAGCTCGTCACAGAGTATAGTGTCATCTGGGGAGGTAGAAAAACCCGAACCCCTGTATACAGGGTCTACGTGGAACTTTTCCTTTAGCGTACGGGTTCGGAACGCTCCTCACTAAAAACCGGCTTTTTGCTACATCCAACATTGTAGGAAAGCTCCGGGTAAATTCTGAAGTTGAACAAAACTTCTTGTCGAACTGTCTCCGGGTAGAGATGAATCGATGTTATGCTGAAAGATAGAGTCTCGTCTGGTGAGGTAGACAGCCACCGGACACCGTGTATGCGGGGTCTACGGGAAATGTTTGCCCGAGCGTACGCGCTCGGAATGCTCCACGTTAAAAAACGGCCTTGTGCCATATCCCGCCTTGTGGGGATTCTTCGGGTAAATACCTAACTTAAACATAACTTACATGAAATTCACGATTAACTGTTATTCCAGTAGACTGTGTTCTCGACTGTTAGGACCGTATTATTCTTTGGAATAAATTACTAATAATCTTTATATGTGTATCGACTTATCCATTTCAAGATACGACATTTGACGACGCGGGATTCGAAGTTTACAGCGGATACCAACATTTGACAACGAAAATTCGAATGTTAATACCAACACGAACTGAGGATTCAAGTGTACCAATTTATAGTCACATACCAAGAAATTATTTCGCGATTAATCAACATCGAATTAATTCCAAGTCGGTCGGGTTAAAACAAGTTAGAATTTTGTCTGGTTGCTTGGTTAAATTTTGTCTCTATAAAGAAACATGGATGATTGGAAAGAAGCAATGTTGGAATTTATGATAATTCTACAGAAACAGAACGAACGGTTGGAGGAACAACAATGTTTGGACCAGGAAGACTGAGAAACAAAACGAACGGTTGGAGGAACAACAGTGTTTGGACCAGGAAGACTGAGAAACAAAACGAACGGTTGGAGGAACAACAATGTTTGGACCAGGAAGACTGAGAAACAAAACGAACGGTTGGAGGAACAACAATGTTTGGACCAGGAAGACTGAGAAACAAAACGAACGGTTCGAGGAACAACAATGTTTGGACCAGGAAGACTGAGAAACAAAACGAACGGTTGGAGGAAAAACAGTGTTTGGACCAGGAAGACTGAGAAACAAAACGAACGGTTGGAGGAACAACAATGTTTGGACCAGGAAGACTGAGAAACAAAACGAACGGTTGGAGGAACAACAATGTTTGGACCAGGAAGACTGAGAAACAAAACGAACGGTTGGAGGAACAACAATGTTTGGACCAGGAAACTGAGAAACAAAACGAACGGTTGGAGGAACAACAGTGTTTGGACCAAGAAGACTGAGAAACAAAACGAACGGTTGGAGGAACAACAGTGTTTGACCAGGAAGACTGAAACAAAACGAACGGTTGGAGGAACAACAGTGTTTGGACCAGGAAGACTGAAAATAAAACGAACGGTTGGAGGAACAACAATTTTGGACCAGGAAGACTGAGAAACAAAACGAACGGTTGGAGGAACAAAACGTTTGGACCAAGAAGACTGAGAAACAAAACGAACGGTGGGAGGAACAACAATGTTTGGACCAGGAAGACTGAGAAACAAAACGAACGGTTGGAGGAACAACAATGTTTGGACCAGGAAGACTGAGAAACAAAACGAACGGTTCGAGGAACAACAATGTTTGGACCAGGAAGAAAAACAAAACGAACGGTTGGAGGGAAAAACAGTGTTTGGACCAGGAAGACTGAGAAACAAAACGAACGGTTGGAGGAACAACAATGTTTGGACCAGTAAGACTGAGAAACAAAACGAACGGTTGGAGGAACAACAATGTTTGGACCAGGAAGAATGAGAAACAAAACGAACGGTTGGAGGAACAACAATGTTTTGACCAGGAAACTGAGAAACAAAACGAACGGTTGGAGGAACAACAGTGTTTGGACCAGGAAGACTGAGAAACAAAACGAACGGTTGGAGGAACAACAATGTTTGGACCAGGAAGACTGAGAAACAAAACGAACGGTTGGAGGAACAACAATGTTTGGACTAGGAAGACTGAGAAACAAAACGAACGGTTGGAGGAACAACAATGTTTGGACCAGGAAGACTGAGAAACAAAACGAACGGTTGGAGGAACAACAGTGTTTGGACCAGGAAGACTGAGAAACAAAACGAACGGTTGGAGGAACAACAGTGTTTGGACCAGGAAGACTGAGAAACAAAACGAACGGTTGGAGGAACAACAACGTTTGGACCAGGAAGACTGAGAAACAAAACGAACGGTTGGAGGAACAACAACGTTTGGACCAGGAAGACTGAGAAACAAAACGAACGGTTGGAGGAACAACAATGTTTGGACCAGGAAGACTGAGAAACAAAACGAACGGTTGGAGGAACAACAATGTTTGGACCAGGAAGACTGAGAAACAAAACGAACGGTGGAAGGAACAACAATGTTTGGACCAGGAAGAATGAGAAACAAAACGAACGGTTGGAGGAACAACAATGTTTGGACCAGGAAACTGAGAAACAAAACGAACGGTTGGAGGAACAACAGTGTTTGGACCAGGAAGACTGAGAAACAAAACGAACGGTTCGAGGAACAACAATGTTTGCACCAGGAAGACTGAGAAACAAAACGAACGGTTCGAGGAACAACAATGTTTGGACCAGGAAGACTGAGAAACAAAACGAACGGTTGGAGGAACAACAATGTTTGGACCAGGAAGACTGAGAAACAAAACGAACGGTTGGAGGAACAACAGTGTTTGGACCAGGAAGTCTGAGAAACAAAACGAACGGTTGGAGGAACAACAATGTTTGGACCAGGAAGACTGAGAAACAAAACGAACGGTTGGAGGAACAACAATGTTTGGACCAAGAAGACTGAGAAACAAAACGAACGGTTGGAGGAACAACAATGTTTGGACCAGGAAGACTGAGAAACAAAACGAACGGTTGGAGGAACAACAATGTTTGGACCAGGAAGACTGAGAAACAAAACGAACGGTTGGAGGAACAACAATGTTTGGACCAGAAAGACTGAGAAACAAAACGAACGGTTGGAGGAACAACAATGTTTGGACCAGGAAGACTGAGAAACAAAACGAACGGTTGGAGGAACAACAATGTTTGGAGAAGAACAAACAATGTTTGGACCAGGAGTACTGAGAAACAAAACGAACGGTTGGAGGAACAACAATGTTTGGACCACGAAGACTGAGAAACAAAACGAACGGTTCGAGGAACAACAGTGTTTGGACCAGGAGTACTGAGAAACAAAACGAACGGTTGGATGAACAACAATGTTTGGACCAGGAAGACTGAGAAACAAAACGAACGGTTGGAGGAACAACAATGTTTGGACCAGGAAGACTGAGAAACAAATCGAACGGTTGGAGTAACAACAGTGTTTGGACCAGGTACGCTCGAAATGAAAACGAACGGTTGGAAAAAATTGTTGCAGAAGAATGCGAACGAACAGAAAAACTTCAGCACGACACGGCAAAAATAGAGGAACGCGGTGTCAACTATTCAGGCAGTTAAGCAAAGACAATATAAAGAAAATGTTACCCGGAAAATAAATCCTTGTTATGGGTGTGGAAAGAATCATTATTACAAGGAATGTCCATTTAGAAAAAAAAAAGAATGCTTTAATTGTGGAAAAAAGACGCAAGCATACGCATTGCAGAAAATCTAAAATTAAAAAAAAGTGTTTAAAAATGGAAAAGGCAGTTCAACTTCAATGGAAACAAATGATTAAAAATAAGAAAGTTTCTGAATGTAAAGATGAATAAAAAATATTAAATTTCAATTGGATACCAGTTCAGATTGGACATTGATAAAAGAACAAACTTTGAAAGAAATTGGCACACCAAATTTATTGATCACGAAAAGAATTGCTCATACTATTACAGGAAATAAACTAAATTTTGAAGGAGAATTTTATAAAAATTTATGGACAAAACTATATAATTAAAAGAATTCATTATGAAACGGACAGAGAATGGTATGGAAAAGATTGAGTTATTCGACATTCTCAACCAACCAATTAATTGGTGCTGCTTTAGTGTCAGTGTTAATTCAGAGTGGAAAAATTAAAAAAATGAATTAACGATAAAAATTTCCTGAAATCTTTTCTTGGGGTATTGGCAAATGTACCAGAGCTAAAGCGACATTCAAACTGAAAGATAATGTGACGCCTATATTTAGACCAAAAAGAAAATTAACCTTTACAGCGGAAGCTTCCATTAGTAAGCAGTTGGACAGTTTAGAAAAAAAAAATGGCGTGTTAAGCAAAACGGTCTAAAGTGAATGGGCATGCCCTATCGTTTACGTGTAAAAGAAAAATAATAAAATTCGAGTCTTCGCAGATTTTTGTATAAGATTGAACGATTGTTTGAAAACATACAATTAGCATCTGCTGAGCCCAGAAGACATCATTCGTAAAATTAAATGGTGGTAGGGTGTTCGCAAAATGGATTTGAGGCGTACATCCAGATTCCTGTTGACGAAGAATGTGTGAAGTATTTAACTATAAATACGCATAAGGGTCTGTATAGATTCAACACACTGTCATTCGGGATAAAAGTCGCATCAGACATTTTCTAAAAATCATGGATGCATTATTGAATGACGTGGACTTCGCAATAGCCTACCTTAACGATATCATAATTAATAGCGAAAGCCGAGAACAATATGCCGAACATGTTAAAGAATTTTTTGATAGAAGGAAACAATACGGCTTAAGTCTTAGTATAGATAAATGTGAATTATTTTATTATTTATCATTAAGTAGTTGGGACAAGTTATAAATACGAAAGGCAGAAAACCAGACCCATCGAGATCGAGTACGATAAGAAACATGCTGCCCCACCCAAAAAATGTGTCGGTACTACAAGCATTCTTGGGTCTAGCAAATTACTAGGATAATTTTATTCCAAATAGGCACGTATTGAGAACTCCACTAAACAAATTCTTAAAAAAAGATTCCAAATGGTACTGGGGTACAAAATGTCAAAGTGCTTTTTCATGCCGAAGCAATTTTCAATTGTTGGAATTAATATTAACAATGAAAATTAACTTGAAAAATGCTTAGACATGAAATTCGGGGTTATGCTATTAATGTACGATATTATATATATATATATATATATATATATATATATATATATATATATATATATATATATATATATATATATATGAATTATTCACAAAAACTAATGCAAAGGTTAATGATTTTAAATGGCGAGACATCCATCTCGCAAACAATTCAAATATTACACAAAAAAACTTAGATCCGTTATGAATGAATTGATCCTTGTTCATATAAATTTCTGCCGTATTAGTTGTTATTTTACACAAAGCTTTCGTCTGTTCATACAGACATCTTCAGGTATATAATAGATGTTGTTCTTTTTTTTTTTTTCATATATATATATATATATATATATATTTTTTTTTTTTTTCATATATATATATATGAAATGTGAACGAATCGAATATAAATTCAAACGTTCATAAAATAGGATTTAATACATTCCAATAGTAGAGCATCATTCTTTATTATAGGATATTACATTCAAACGGGTAGATATACGCTATATAAATGCACTCTTGTTTCGATGTGTATCAAAACATCTCATGAGGCATTAGCAAATGACTGATTATTACAATTATTAGGATTTAATTACTTACAACCTCTTTTCCCGCGAAAAAGAAAAAAAGAAAAGATGCAAGAAAGAAAGATATAAAATATAATCTCTTTTCCAGAGAAAAAGAAGAAGAGAAAAAGGAAAAATATATAGAAAAGTATAGAGAATGTAAAGTAGTAAGACTTATGTTTATAATCGGTTCAGCCAATCTAATGCTAAGTAAGAGGTCATGAAATACAGACTTAAAATTGCAACGAATACTTACGTTATATTTGAAACAGATTCTTCGCTACAATGTTAACATCAATATAGATGCATACATTTTGTTATTTTTGGTGGTTTATTTTCCCTTTTCAAGGTGATAAATCCACTAAGACGCAAGGGGTTACTGAAGATAGAAAATAATAAAGAGAAAAACTAAGAAAACTTAATGAGGACAAAGGAAATAACAAGAACATTATTCAAGGTGACCAAAGATTACGATTTACATGGCAGATTATACTTGAGTGAAAAAGCTAGAAGAGAGTCCCGTAGACGAGAAGTGCGAGAGAAGAGACTAATAAATGTAATTTATATTTACATTTAGCAATTGCAGCAGTTAAATGATGAGACCTAGCTTCCAACCGAGTACTACGTTTAAATTTATAAAAGTCGAAGCACCAAAGAATTAAGCTCATCTGAATTACCATAAAAAAATGCATGCCGAAAATGCACAAGGGAGATACATTACGGTGGTAGGGAAGTGATTGAAGCCGAGATGCCAAGTCGGGACGGATAGTATTGCAGATTCCTCTTTGTATTTTGTCTAGTTTATGAAAAATATATTTGTTCCGCATTCTTAGACATTAACAGTAATGCATTATCACATTTTTCTGCGTTATAGTTAATGGTGAAGTGATGCAAGACAACACGTTAAGGAGGTTACTATGTAGGCAAGCCATTTCTAGTAGTGAGCACTTCAGCTTTCCACAAATCCTAAATTAAGCGTTTTCCTTATCCTAGACGAGTTACAAACCAATGTTAAAAAAAAGACAAGGCTAATAAACCAAGTATATCCTCCTATTTAACACATTGCTGGGCTGGTGAGGAAGATTTTCTAAGGGTATTTACGCGAAAGTGAATTAATGAACTCAACTGGTCGATTTCTTATTCCAAGCCGTTAACAATTACACTACCTGCACATGCTTACAAAGCAAGATAACAGCACTTGTAGACAGACAGACAGATAGATAGATAGATAGATAGATAGATAGATAGATAGATAGATAGATAGATAGATAGATAGATGTTGGAATCAAATATAGATCAAGTGTATCTTTGGTATAATTATACTAATGTTGGTTCGACAAGTGGAATGCACGTGAGACTGGATTAATCAATAACATTCAAACAACACAAAAGTAAAAAGAATTTCTTTCATTCTCTCCATCTTCCATTCGCCGATGAAGCTTTAGTAAAAGTGAAACATGTTAGATTGTTAAACGTTTCCTATTTGTTCTTTATCTTATCATAAGTAGATAGACAGAAAGGAACAGATAGATAGATAGATGTTTTAATCCTTTTTTATGTATTTTGTAAAAATCTCAACATGAAATATATTATTGTTGTGAAGTTATATACATATAATATTTATAAGTGCTGTACACATACTATATATTATAGAAGTAGTAAATATTATTTTTGTATTTAATGTCAGATCGAGCGACTGAGTATTTGAATTTAAATTCAAGTGTCAGAAAGATCTTATCAATTATCGTAAACCAATTAATGGTATACTTATAGTAAAAAAAGTGTTGCAATTAAATATTGTGTTCAAATCATTTGAGCCATTTCAACAGGTGGCCAGATCTTTTCCCGCTATACGTATTATAAGCCGATATCTAATAAAAATGTTGTTTCGAACAATAATATCGGGTTTGAAATCAATATGATAAAATAGAATACATTTACATAAACGTAATTCGTTTCATTTCTATAATACGATCGGATACTGGCAACACCCACAAAAAACACGGTAAAGAAAGTAACAGCTGCTACAATATTGCGAGGATATGACAAATTCTTTAAGACACGTTAACTGACCTCTATTCAGAAAATTACTAATACATATTTTTTAAAAGATGAATGAAAACTTTGATTTTAATTTAATCAAAATAAATAAGAATAACTAATAAATATTTATAAGACATTTATTGAAAAGCATGTTCAGTAGATGTTCTTTTGAGCGCAAATGTATTTATAGCTACATGCCTTATTTCGACATTTTGGCTTTTAAAATGGGGTGCAGCTTTAGATAGATAGATAGATAGATAGTAATGCAATGGTAATATTAGCCGTTTCCTTATAAGGAAACATTTGGCATTCATTAACCGAGCAGTCAGTACTGCTGTCGGTTGAAATTCATAAAATGATTCTCTTAAAACAATTTTCTGGAAAATAGGTTTCCCAAGTCCAGTAGCTGCTTTCTCTCTTTCCAGTAATGACGGGGAATTCCTAACCTTTTGTTTGAAAAAAGTGTGGAACGTCGACATATTGATTATGTCAGTATTTTCTCTTCGCATTACATGTCATGTCCATTTTAGACGTTGCTGCAGTTGAAAGTCCTCAAGTGATGTCGTTTCTGTTACTGAGTAAAGTTCTATGTGATTCGAGATAGATAGATAGATAGATAGATAGATAGATAGATAGATAGATAGATAGATAGATTCTAATCGATCTTGTTTTTCCACATGGCATAAGCATCATGAATCTCAAAGAATTTATCAGCTGAAGTGATGATATATAAACAACAGTTTACGATGCTCATTCAAAGATCTGTTGATATAATTTCATTGAAAATAATCCGGGGAGATTGAAAGTGTAAATGAGGAGAAAAGAGAGGGGCGAAAGCCAAAAAATTCCGCATAAAAAAAAAGTTTTATGTTGGTTATCCTGCTGTTTTTGTTTATTCATCAGTGTCTGTTTGTAAACAAAGAATTTTTTTTTCTTTTTTAAGCATTTCACCCCAAGCAAAGCGTGCGTACCACTAGCACGCAAAGGGGTTACAGAGGGTTGAGAACAAGAGTAAAGAGGCGTGTTTGAAGAAAGGATATAGAAAAGGACAGGGAACAAGATCAAGGCATCAGAAGATGTCGATTGACATTACACTTGAATATTTGAAGATTATTGTTATCAGGGAAGCTAGTAAGAAGAAGGGAGTTCCACAGACATGAAGTGCGAGAGAAGAACCTGTTTAATTAGAAGAGAAGGTTACACTTAATTGTGTCGTCAGTGAAAGGGTGGGACTGAGATGCCAACCTAATAGCTCGCTTAAATTCATGCAGTCTGAGAACCAGCAAAAATAGTTCGTCGGAACAGTTAACGTGAAAATACTTCTAAAAAAGTCAGAGGGAAACCACGGCACGTCTGCGAGAAAGTGACTGCAGACGAGATGCCAGATCAGGATGTATCACATTGCATATCCGTCTCTGGATTTTGTCGAGGACCTCGAAACGTATAGCATGAGCACCAGGCCATATATGACTACAGTATTACATGCAAGGATGAATGGTTGATTTATAGATTTGAAGGATAGACTCAGACGAGAAAAACCTTTGGCATGACACAGAGAACTAATTTTCTTTACGGTAGATGAAGCTACTGATTCAATGTATTTGTTTCATCTCATGTCAGCGGACAGCGTGAGACCAAGCAGGCATAAGAGGCGCTCTCGTGGAACTGGGCATCAGCTATTCTAATGGAAGGAAGGGAGGGTTCTCTGTTGTGGCTAATGAGAGCAGTTTCGTTTTGGAGGCATTAAAGTTTGCAAGCCATATCCTGCCCCAGTCAACCACAATTTGTAAGTCCTTTTCGAAACCAGCGGCCAGATTTGTTTTGTCAATCATACTAGATTTACTGTTGAGGCAGGAGTAAATAGTAGTGTCGTCCGCGTAGATGCCTACTTGGGAACGGATGACATTCGGAAGGTCGTTAATGGAGATCAAGAACAGTATAGGACCCAAGATAGAGCTTTGGGGAACACCAACACGGAGGAGAACTCGTTTAGGACGACCCTCATTATACGGTTTGACAGGAATTACTGTGTTAAGTCAAATAATCGTCCTGTAATGCCGTATCCCTGAGGCTTACGAAGAAGGCCGGTATGGAAAACCCAATCAAACGCTTTAGAGATATCTTGAGCTACGTCTGGAGCTTCTCCATTATTTTCAAGTGCTTGCTATACAAATTAGGTTATGACCGTGAGCACGTCAGCGGTAGATCGTGCAAAGTGTTTACAATCTTAATTGTCAGAGAGCAGATCATGGGATGTAAGGTGCTTAACCACTTCGGCGTTGATTAAAGCCTCGAAGACTGAAGGAGACTGATAGAATGGTAGTTTGATGAGTCAGAAGGGTCTCCGGAATTTTTAAAGACAGGCACAACAGATGAGGTCTTCGAAGAGGTTGGAAAGTAAGAGTCGGTGACGGTGAGGCATTAGTTGTAAAGTTTGGAGATGATAGGAGCCAGTTCAGGAGCATATTTCTTCAGTACAATGGCTGGTATCCTGTCCCCAGCACTAGCCTTATGGGAGTCTAATTTAGAAATGACGTCCAATACCATCTTTGTGGTTATGTGCATCTCACTCAATAGAGCCTCAGTTCTAAGGAGAAATCAGTTGTGGGTACAGCAGATGAGTCTAGCGCCGAAGTGGTTGAGAATTTCTGAGCAAAACATTCAGCCTTATCAGCTGAGGAAGTCAGGATCTCACAATGGTTGAATAAAGGTGTTGTGGTTTTGCTGCTGTTTAGCACGCTCTTGCAGAGCCGCCAATAATCTTTAGAACCAAAATTCCGAGACGCAATATGTTGTTTCATTCTTTCTGCAAAGAGCTTTGTTGGGGACACGCTTGCAGTCATTATGGGCAGTAGCAAAGTGTCGTCTGTTGCAATCGGACGTGTCGCTACGGCACAGACGGAAGTAGCGATTCCCGAACAGGCAGCCGAGAATCAAGGGGATGAACGTGGTTTCACTTTATATATTTTTGCGAGGATGAAAGCCTCGATTTTACCCAGGATGAGACCTCAGGCGCACGTTCCACGGGACATCGCGAAGGAAATCACGGAACGAGTCCCAGTCTGCTCGTTGATGACAGAAAGATGTTCTGTTGGTAGGAGGTTCTTTGCTGGTAGAGGAGTAGAAGGAGACGTTAACAGAGACGACGGCATGATCAGATTTGCCAAGAGGGTAAAGCTGCGTTGCACGACAAGACTCGGAGAGAGAGAGGTAAAACAGTTACTGGGGAAACGCGTAGAAAACTCAACCACTTGTGTGAGAGATAGAGTGATTGAAAAGTTAAGTGTTTGTATGCCAGTAAGGTCAGTTACAGAGTGTTTATGCAGCTTGGTATAGTTGGCATTAAAGTCACTGAACACGAATATATGAGCAAACGGATGTAGAGAGATAGCCTTGTCTATATTATCAGAAATGCTATCGAGTACACCACAGTCTTGAGAGGATGAAGAGCGATAGAGAAAGAAGAAATAGCTTATAGAATTGAGGAGACACATGTATGAATAGTCTGGATATACAAGAGCGTTTTCCCCATCCAGTGGCTCCGTGCGTAGACTCCCAGGTCATGCATGCAGGATAGAGATCCCTTTCTAAGGAGAGAAAAGTAACCGCGAATTCAGAGGAGGGGATTGACGGATTAAGATTGATCTGACAGAAAGCTAGTATATCAAGAGACTTCACAATGCTGAACGATTCCACATTGCAGAATCTGGTCCGGATGCCACAAATGTTGGAAAAGGAAATGTTAAAAGGTTTAGGTGATTTTTTTAGAGCTGGTTTTGGTTTATTATTTTGATTGTTTATGGTCCTGTTGAATAATGTTGGTAATAAAAGTGAAAAGACGTACGTCATAGCAGCTGACGGCCACATATGTGAAATGAACAAAAAGGAGCTGACACAACCTGCAACATAGTGCTGCCCACCAGAGTTGCGTGCAGGGACACCGTTCCATGCGTGACATGGCACTACAGCCACCCCAATAATAAGCAACTGTTGATCAGAGCAGCCGCTCAAGACGCTACGCAAGAATTAGGGCTCCTAACTTCCAGTCGGGAATAACAACCAGAGAACTGTCAACCCGGTATCCTCAGTATAAAGAGACGTTGTCACATATTGTACGTATCACAAGGGATTCACGACAGTACTAATACCGATGCCAGAAAAAAAATGATCTAGGAACCCCTTCCTAAACAAGAAACAAGGGATGAGCCTCTATACCTGCTCAAGAGGAGGAGGAGAAATATTGACTGGGTGATAGGTCGACCTGTTTACACCTATTACACACACACGCAGGAAGAAACACACACACACACACACACACACACACATATATATATATATATATATATATATATATATATATATATATATATATATATACAGTATAACCTGGATATAAGAGAGATTTTCTCTGTTCCCAAATTAGAGCCTGTGTTTAATGTATATAAAATAGACCAAACCCGGATATAAGAGAAACCCGGATATAAGAGACTTCTTCTCTGGTCCCGAAAACTCTTTTATATCCGGGTTACACTGTATATATATAAAATTTCAACTTAGTTTAAGCGCCAACATGCATTTCGGCGGGAGCGGAGAAAGACAAAACCACTTCATGTCTGTTACACACGAGTTAAATGTCTGGTGCTAGCATGAATATTTCAAAGACTTCATATTCAAAGAACTCAAAATAAAATAAAATTACAAAATAAGTGGGGGTAGACTAAATTCGCTTCAAATTTAAAGAACAATTTACAAGACTAAAAGAATTACTAACAACAATAAAAATAAATAAATAAAATGTAAATGAACAAAAGAGATTAAAAATAAAAAAGTACAGAACAGTGACTTACAATGAGAATCAATGACATTCATCCTATCTTGACTGGTGACAAGACACAGAAAACACGTGTTATATAGTCGAAGGTAAAGAAAAACAAACTCATTTTGAGCGCAAACTACGGTCAACACATCGCTAGTCGAGTAGGATTAGTCATCTGTTTATTCGTCTTCAAGCATGAAATCCGTGAAGTAGAATCTTACTCACCCAGATTCGGTGAGCAATTCTACGACGATTCCCTCTGATGTGTGTCGATGCAACTCCCAAACCATATCTGCTCTCGATCGGCTGCATCTCAACTGCCAACCCTTAGTTTACCGAGGTCTGACTGGTCTCTATGGGCAACTGCCTTATTGTTAAACCAGCACGGCCTATATCGGATACATGAAGAACTGTTCCTGTTGTCTAACCCTGAACTCTTATAATCACGCGTTAACTATCTATCCTCACATAATAGAGTTATTAATTTTGTGAACGGAGAGGTGGTTCCATGCTTCTCTATAGGCCATTAATCCTAAATAAATGCAACACATCGACATGGATGTGAACTCCCTTCTCTGATTCCAATTTCCAAAATTAAAACTGTTATGCTAAACGCATATCCCCGATTCTTTAGTTTTTACCAATAAAAGATGACAGCATTAACAATATATGAACAAGTAACGAACAATCTTACAATGGTTTAATCAGGTGAAAACAATACGCCAAAAGACACGGAGTATTACAACATTTATGAAAAATCCAGTTGTAGTAAGCTCGATGTTAAATTACAATATATGGCAAAGGATCAGCATCAAGAAACCTCTAATGGGTAACAATATATATATATATATATATATATATATATATATATATATAT